TACGCCACGTTTTTGTGCCATCTAGTGGTTTAGATGAAAATAATATCAAAGGCGCCTTTTACCCCAGGACGCCTTTAGCCCGTTGTACCCTACTAAAAGGTCTAATATACAGTATTATCATAGTTCCTGTTGTATCCTAAGCCTTAGAAATAGGCTTTATACAAATATATTTATAATAAATGTATAATTTAATTGATATTTATTTATATAATTAATTAATTTAAAGAGAAACATAATAAAGATAAAAAAATTACCATATTATATTACCAACAATGTCCAAAACAAACAGATACTAAATTTCAACCAGTTCAACATAATATAATATAATATATAATATAATATAATAATGTTTCAAACATATAGGAAATTTGTATGGTTTCAAAAACAGACCGACTCCTAAAAAAAAAAAGGAAACACTTCGATCCCCTTACATGGCAATAACATTGAATTGTCAAGAGAATGGCAATCTGGTGAACTGGAAAATAAAGTCTGTGTCCTGGCCTGTCTTGTGACTGATTTGGCCACTCATTTTTATTATTGTCTTCTAGTGATGAGAGAATCCATTGAAGCAGTCGGTTTTCTGCTTCTAAAAACCACAAGCTGGCGACATCTTCTGGTCAAAACAGCGTAAATGCAACGAGAGCACAGCACAGCCTCAGACACCTTTTACAAACCAGCTAAAGTTGTTTTTATGAAAGTTTAATCTATTACATGTAATCTACACATTATTTAAATGTGAATTATATGTATAATTTGTGTAGTGCTTGTTTATGCGATTTCACTGAATTTGGTCTTAAAGGGTTAGTTCACCCAGAAATTAAAATTAGTCCATTATTTACTCACCCTCAAGGCATCCTAGGCGTATATGACTTCCTTCTTTCAGACGAATCCAATCGGAGTTATAATAAAAATGGTCTTTGATCTTCCAAGCTGCTTAATGGCAGTCAGCGGGTGTTGCAGTTCATCAGTCCAAAAGAAGTGAAATAAAGCGCATCCATCCATAGTAAAGTGTCTCACACGGCTCTGGGGGGGTGAACAAAGTCGGCGCATGCGCAAAGCTGACCTCATACGTCATCCGCCCGGAGCTGATTCCGTTTACAACAGTCAGCGCAAGCTAGATTAAATTATTACGTTTTAAATATGGTTATTTTTCTTACAAAAACGCATCGATTCGCTACAGGAGGAATTTATTCACCCCCCGGAGCCGTGTGAGACACTTTTTATTATGGATGGATGCGCTTTATTTCACTTCTTTTGGACTGATGCACTGCAACACCCGCTGAGTGCCATTAAACAGCTTGGAAGATCAAAGACCATTTTTAATATAACTCCGACTGGATTCATCTGAAAGAAGTCAAACACACATAGGATGCCTTGAGGGTGAGTAATTCATGGGCTAATTTTCATTTTTGGGTGAACTAACCCTTTAATTCCGGACTCATCTGTTTGCCTGTATATAGTATGCATCATCATACCAAATGGTGTATACTGAGTTTAGTCTTGTAATATCACTGTCTTAGTACATTATGTGCTTCAGGTGAGTATTCCTATAAGAGTGAGGCATCACATGAAAACTAGAAATAGTTTAACACGGCTGTCAGGTGCTTTGACAGAAAAGCAGTTTAAAGTGTTTGAGACATCTCATCTTACACTTATATACACGTATATATCTGTAAATGTTAGAAAGTCATGCAAGTTTCCATTTTGCATAAAGGCTCATCCTGACAGCAAGCAAGTCTCCGATAATTTCACAGACTTCACTGAAGGAGCACTGGCGTGTTCAAACAAACGGTGCACAACAGAGAGCAATAATTCTGACTAAAATGTATATTTTGCTAGCATTTAGGTTTGAAATGCTACATGTAACACAAGCAGTTGTATTTTTATCAAAGCAGTAAAGGGTCTGTTGTAACAATGGTATAAAAGTATTATGATTATTAAATCCAGAACCACTGATTCACACTGAACTTTCAGCCTATTGAGTGTCCTGTTTATAGACACATACTTGATGGCAACCTCTAAACAGATAGACCACAGTAAATCACACGGACTAATTATCACAGATGACATTTACTGACATCAACATTTCTAAAAGCTGTCTGAATGAAGGAGGGAAGAAAATGTCTTACTGGCAGTCCATCAGACCTGCGGGTCCCAGAGCCGAATCCAGCTCGCCCCAGCAATGGGCCCTTCGCATACGCTTCTGAATCATACAAGATCACAAGAAATGTCTCGAAGAGAAAACATGTTGCTGTATCTTAACCTGTGAAAAAAAAAAACTTTAATGCAGCTGAAGAACTTTTTCTATTAATAACTGAGCCATAAAATCTTAAATATGAATGTGACGGTTCTTCCCCAAAAATTCAGGAGACATTTGTAGAGCCATCAAAATTTTGTTTTATTGACAGCAAGTTCATTTTTCTACGGATCATTGCATGACTCATAAGAGAGAAATGAAAACATATACATCACTGAGTTATGGGTCTCATATGTTATCTCCTCCAGGGATCCCTCACCAGAACTAACTCCATGAAATCTAAAACCTTTTAATGAGACAAACCAAACCATTTTACAATAACAGGGGTCTCACACAAATCTAACTCAATCTTATTTACATCACACAAAACACACACACACATATACAGTGGGTACGGAAAGTATTCAGACCCCCTTAAATTAACTTAAATGATTTTAGCAAATGGCTGCAATATAACAAAGAGTGAAAAATTTAAGGGGGTCTGAATACTTTCCGTACCCACTGTATATATATACACACACAAATATACCAAATCACATTTGCCATAAGCAATAGTGAAAATTTCATTAAAAAAAAAGAAATGAAACCAACAAAAATAAATATCAAACACATAAACTATAACCCACATACACAAATATAATCCCAAAACCTATATTTCCCATAATTCCCAACAATTCCGTGCCTTTTTAACAAGCCTCAGATCCACGCTGCAGTCATAGATACCAGCAGAACCATGGGTAAGATACACAATTTAAACAATTAAATAAAGATCCCTTTTAAAACCCATATCTGTCTAGATGTTCTTTTAATCAATCACTAGCGTGCGCTCTAGTGACGAATTTTACATGGATGCTATCGCTTTTCATATTTTATGCGCATAAAGAGACAATGTAGCCTACCACCTCTTAAACAAATATTTGAGTACATATTAGTCTTGTTTGTTTTTCTCATCCGTTTTTCTCTCAACTGTTTACTTTCACTTTAGACATAACCAGCTGTGTTTATATGTTTGTTTGTTTTTTACTGTATTAGCGCAATCAGACGCGAAAGATAACAGTCCAATAATCAGGCGCTGTTTGACAGGCTTTTCAGTGTGTGTGTACACGCTTCATAAATTATAAAATATATAAAAAATAATTTTCTGTATTACTGTTATAAGTGCTGTTATACTGAATCAAGCATATATCAAATCATGAACATCATAGTGAAAATCAAACTGAATCATGAGAAAACTATACCATCCCATCTCTAAACTTGAACATGTTTGTTTTACTCCATTTATCTGTGTCATAGATTTCCAAAATAAACAAAACATCTGGTCACATAAGTTACTTGGTATTAAGTTGTTGGTCCCCATTGACTTCCATAGTATTTTCTTCCATACAATGGAAGTCAGTGGCTACCAGCAACTGTTTGTTTCCCAACGTTTTTCAAAATATCTTCTGACACTCATGTGCGCTAATACCGGACATTAGTCATGTGATCACCTGCGGCCTTGTGTCTATGGCCCAATCACAGCCACACTGATAATCATATCACCAGCACAACCAACTCAACTATAAGATCTTCAGAGGAGAAAAGCTATAAAAGAATGGAAAGACGGTCTCAGTGAAGGTGGTTGTGAACGTGTATAGGTTTGTGTTAGATACAGGATCAGAGAAGGACACTGTTCCTCTGTCAAAGTCCAGCTGAACTCTCACCCGCTCAAGCTTTTGTACGACAGGAAAACCAGACTCTTCAAACAGTCTGTGCTGCACACTCCACACACCACTGTCAAAGAAATCATATCCCTTCCTCTGGTTTGATGCCGTAGTTATTCCAAGGCCCCAGGACGAGCTCTCTTTGACGTCCACATCCCAGCAGTGTGTTCCTGAGGTAAACCCCTCTGAACCCAGAACACAGGAATGCTCATCGAATCTCTCTGGATTATTAGGAAGCGCTTGACTGTTGGCGCTGCACGTCAGACTGCTCAGATCATCAGACAAGAGGAGATCAGGATGAGCCGTGTTCGGATCCAGAATCACAGGAGCTGATGAGACACGATCAACAGCTGCTTTTATTCTGATATTCTTATAATGATCAAGAGCAAACCGTACACAGATTGTGATCAATTATCAATCAATTATTAACACTCACCCTATTGATGAAACACTATCAGATGATTTCTGTCAGTGTTGTCATAGTGCATGTATGTGCTTGAGAAATGTTACATTTGCATCCAATGACAAAAACAAGAAATAAATCTGCTATATAACTGCAATTGTAAATATGATGTGTAACACATTTTTTCTCTTGTTTACAGCTCATTTTGGTGTAGTTAAATTAATATTCACTGCCAGGACTCACTAGGGGGACACAAAATGGCTTAAAATGATTTAAAATCGGACAAAACAAGCTTTAATTTGTTCCCCTTGTCCCTGGAGTTTCCTGATGATGGGGGACAAGGGGACTCTAAGGCCATTGATCTTGGACAATGGCCTTAGAGTCAAAAAGGCACAGAATCACTTTTCTAAAGACTCACTGTTTTGGACAACATCTTGCATCTTCTTCCAGGCTCTGAATGGCAGGTTGCCCAGGTAACGTGCCACATCAATCAAAGCTCCAGAAGCCAGCTGTACATCCGACCGTAAGCTCTGGACTCTGGAAGAACATTCAGGAGTCAGAACTGCAGTGGGTTTGTGATGTGTTCAGAACCAGAGACACGAGGGACACGAACCGATCACTCACCTTTCCATCGCATCTGGAAAGTTCTGGAAAATAAACAGACAATTTATTATTTTCTCAAATAATGAATAACAGAATCAGTGATCAATTAATGAATCGGTTATCTGAAATGAGACCTTTAGAAACAAAACTTCATTGCCATTCATCATCTTCTCCAGGTCTCTGATTGTGTGTGAAAGAGCTGAGATGTGTCTGTTGAGCTCCTCAAACTTCTCCTGCATCATCTGATTCTTCTGCTCCTTTTCCTCCCTCAGCGCAGCGATGGCAATTTCTTCTTCATCTCTGAGAAACTGATGAAGCTTCTCAAACTCCAGTTTAATCTGACGTTCAGTGTGCTCCGCCTGACACTGAAATGAAATCACATTCACTTTGATCATTTACACTTAAGTATGAACAAGTGTGCACTTGTAGTGTACTTCAAATCTTACAAATGTATTTTTAAATTGTACATATGTATATTACTGAAATAAAATGTATTTCGTTTATTTAAAGAGAATTTACTTTAACACTTAAATTCACTTTTAATATGTGCACTGTTATAATGTCAAAATAGAAGTTTTACTTTAAAGTAAATTTTAAATCATTACATTTTAATAATCTTTTCTCATGCTTTTTAAAGAAGTGCACTCATTTTGATGTGTTGACTAACATACTAAAGCACATGTAGAGTTTAAAACATTTATTTGAAAACATTACATTCTGTTCACACTTCTTGCATTCTAAAGAATTATATATATTTATTCTAATATATTCTAAATTGTCCTGAAGTATACATTTAAAGTTGAAAGTTCATGACCATGGGCTTAATGAACAAAAAGCAATCTGCTGCTCGTCATTTACAAAAAATACACTGAATCAGGAATCACTGTAAATGGAATCTGTTACATTAAATATTACAAATCATAATTGTGTATAGATATGTATTTGACTCTTGATGGGTATCCTCACCTGAATGTGTTGAAATATTGTCACACACTCTTCTTTAATTTTCTCTCTGTGTTTAAGTTGTTCTTGTAAGGACTTCAGCTCTTCCTAGAATTACATAAAATAAAATATATAGATTACAGCGATATGTGATATAAGGTTGAGCAAAAAGGTGGAAAGAAATGCTGAGTGCATGAATGTGATGATATCTGTGCTTCACTATTTCTTTATTTGTGACTCTGGAGCACAAAACCAGTCTTAAGTCGCTGGGGTATATTTGTAGCAATAGCCAAAAATACACTGTATGGGTCAAAATTATTGATTTTTCTTTTATACCAAAAATCATTAGGATATTAAGTAAAGATCATGTTCCATGAAGATATTTTGTAAGTTTCCTACTGTAAATATATCAAAACTTAATTTTTGATTAGTAATATGCATTGCTAAGAACTTCATTTGGACAACTTTAAAGGCGATTTTCTCAATATTTTGATTTTTTTGCTCCCTCAGATTCCAGATTTTCAAATAGTTGTATCTCGGCCAAATTTTGTCCTATCCTAACAAATCAAACCATTGAAAAATTGACCCTTATGACTGGTTTTGTGGTCCAGGGTCACATTTATTGAAAGAAGACACATTTGTCCTACCGTATGAGATGAAACTACTTCACTGATGGGTCTGAATGTGTGATTGAGGTGTTTTTGTGAATCTCTGCACACTAAACACACAGGCTGTTTGTCCTCCAGACAGAAGAGTTTGAGTTTTTCATGATGTAAACTGCAGACCTCCTCAGGTCCCGATGAGTGGCTCTCATTTCCCCCTTTCTTCAGGAATGACTCGCACAAGTTTTTTAACACAAGATTACATGGAGGATCATCCCTTGACGATCTTCTCCTGCAGACAGGACACTCCTTAGTGTACTTGGTTCTCCAGAACTGTTGAAGACACTCTTTACAGAAACTGTGACTACACGACAGAAGAACAGGAGCCCTGAAGATTTCACAGCAAATCGGACAAGAAATTTCCTTTACAGAGAATGAATCCATTTTCACTGTTTGAGAGCTCCAGCAAACTAGCCTACATTTCACTTTCACTTTCTAAAGGATTTCAAACACAACCAGGAGAATCACACAAATGCTTCAGTCTATTCCGAAACAAACTCAAACATGCCTTTTGAAAGTGTTTCTCTTCTTCTCCACTGATTGCTGATGGTTTTATGCTTTTATCGAGACATTGAGAAAAGACCAACTGAGATATTAAAAGCAAGTCCGACAACATTATCAGAATTTCTTTCCCGTAACGTGGCTTAACTTCCTTGATGTTATGAAGCATGAAGTCAGGGCGGAATATATGGAGCTCAACCCTCATCTAAAAAAAAGCCAATAGCGTTTCACTTACGTCGCAGCCCGAAAGAACCGCCTTTGACAGGCAGCCACAGTTGTTGTATTAAAAATGGAGTATAAATAGATACCCTTTTTAGATACAAAACAGTGAAATACTATACCCCTGTAAAATATTACTGATAAACCCTTGTCTGACGATGGAGAGAGTTTATCGTTTTCCTGAATAATATTTCAGCAGTCATGTTTGTTTTCTGTTAGGTAGAGCACGCGTTAGCAGATTGGCGAATGAAACTAATCAACTATATTGATCTCATCAGTCAAACGAGTTTGCAAAAGGCTCAGCTTGATTGATTTGGACATCACTCCCCGTCGTTTGCAGCTCTCACACCGAAATAGTAACGGGATATGACGCGTGCTCAACACAACCCAGCGTTACAATGTGCCATAATTCCAGCCAATCAGAGACTGAGGCTGCTAAATTCTGATTGGCTGCCTTGACAACCAATTACAACATTCCTTGCATTACCTCAACAGCAGAAGAGGAAAAATACAGTGAATGCATATTTTTTCCAAGCACATTTGACCAATTCCACACGACATTAATCTTAATAACTACTATTAATCTTGTATTTAATCATTTATAATTGATATATAATTATTCATGAAGGCTGGAAGTGAAAAATGTCTTATACTCAGGTGTGCATAATTATTAAGCAGATTTTCTCTCCCGTGATTTTTTTGTGTCCATTCCGCCCGCTCCTGTAAACATTCTATTGTATTATTTTTGCGCATCAGGGAGCCGTCATCAATATCCGAAGTATTTAAATCTCTTTTGAATGAGCGCTCGCTGTTCACTTTCGATTTTGCGATCACGCGTGCTCTGTGAAAAGGAAGATCAGATATATGTCAATGAGCTCAGGATCTGTTGTTCCTTACGGTCAAAAGTGAGCGAACACCTGAAATGCAACTTTTTTTCTTCTTCGGTAAAATCAATGTAATGTATTTTTGTTCAATAATATTTTGTCTTTTTTATTTTGCATTTTGAGAGAACTTTATGGTACTAATTAATATTTATGCAATAATTATTATCCATTTTTTCCCATTGAAAACAATAAAAAAAATTGTTTACACATTTTTTACAAATATATATATTTTTTCAATTAATGCAGTATTTCAGGTTAAAAAGCAGATTAGCGTCATCTGGTTGTAAAAAAAATTTAAAAAGTTAAAACATGTAATGTCATGGTGTAACCACTAGGTTCCACAATACCTCTCTATAGAGCAGCTTGTGAATTGCGTTACACGTTTTTATTAGGTGGAAAATTTGAATATATATTTAAACAATCTCAAACACTACTTTTTGTCAAGTTTTAGATATTTTTTGTTAGAAATAGTGATTTGAAGTGTTAGTTTTTACATTATGGTTACAGTCATACCTGAACATTGTGTTAGAAAGAGATCGCAAGGAAGCGTTTTGTTACCCATTTTTTGATTCAGAATGTTTGATTCATGTTTTTGTAATTGTTACTGTCACACCAGTTCATGGGTGTGTGTGTGTGTGTGTGTGTGTAAGTGTGTATAAGTGTGTTTGTGTGTGAGTGGGACTATTTCACACTCTTTGAGTTTCTCCCCTTCACTCTTGTGTTTTTTTCTTAATTATGACTGAATTATTGAATTTATTTCACAAATTCTCAAACTTTCTTACACCAGTTCAGGGGTGTGTGTGTTAGTGTTTCAGAGTGTCACCCCTTCACTGCTGCTTTTTTTCTGCATCATGGCAGATTTGTAGATCATGCACACAAAATAATCTCTCTATTGTCGTATTTTTGCCGATTTCCCATTTATTTGGCGGTCATTTTTTTCCGACCATTTAGCATGTTCGAATCATGCCCTTAATTTTTTTGTGTTGTTCACATACCAAGTGCCATAAAAGTCACCAGATTTCATATCATTCCGATGAAGCTACGATTTTTAAAAATTCAAAACGTAAACTTTTTCGGTCTAAAGTGACCGAGGAACGCAACAGAAGTCGTGTTATATTAATACTTCAGATCGGGGCTAGTTGTCCAAAGGGGTATATCTCAGTAATTATTGAGTCCATAAAAGTGTTGAATTAGCTTTTTTTTTTTTTTTTTTTTAAAGAAATGTCAGGTCAGGCCAAGCTGTCATGTTTTTAACATTAAAAACAAAAACTAATTAAATCGGCCTACAATATCTGTTGACTTGATATTTGATATGTTTACTTTAAAATACTTCATGAAATGGCAAAGTTATTAGTTTATTAATTGTGTCTGAAGAACTAATGGGATATTATACTGTTGCATGACAGGTTCACATTGTGAGCTAAAGGGAGTTTCCAGCAGTATAACGCTCGCGTTGGTGTGGCTCAGTGGTTACTTCTGATTTCCTGAAAAAATCTTCATCTCATGGCCGCTGGGAAACCGGAGACCAGAGATCGAACCTCGGGCACTGTCCAACGTTTTCTTGTTTGATGCCATGAGGTCTTGTTCTTTTGTCAGTCAATGATTTTTAATCGTCTAATAGACTATAAGGGTTCGGTATGAAACTTAAATTTCAGTATGTCTTCACTTCTTGCATTTTAAGACTACATTTTTACTTTTTAATTTATAAATTCAAATTAAGATGTAAGACAGGCGTTATTTTAATTGCTATAAACGAATATGATTCTATTGTTATTTCTAACTATATTTATGAAAAGAAATACAAATTAGATTGAATTCCAATAGTTTCACTCCTCGTTGTTGTAACACCCAGACATGAACAGCAGATGGAGCTCAAAGATCATTTTTGACACTCCAAACATCTGAATATCACGAACACTCATACAATCATACGTTTAATGAATGGCTAGTTTTCATTTTTTCTACATTTCCCACATTTACTTATAAAATACACACACACAAACACACACATATATATATATATATACACACACACACATATATATATATATATATACTCACACACATATATATATATATATATATATATATATAGCACTATGGGAATTAAAAGGGCAGGCCTTTGAAGTAGCATGACATTTTAATGTCCGTCCAAACTCCATTTTCCCACTGTCACCCTCACACGGAAGTTTTGTAGAAGTATTAACCTCACTTCTATACATCTCTTCTCAAGGGGGATTTTTTTTTGCAGCATCTTAGTTAAATAAATGTTATGTTTTTATTCACTATTTAACTTTGTCTAACATAGTTATACTGTAAATTTTGAAAAAATATAAATGTTTCCATTATGGCGACGCTGTACCACAATGGAATTGCAGTAATGTATTTCCCCATTGGGATTTTTTTATAGATAGTAGCATCAATAATATGATTGCAATTATTTATTGATTTGAAGTGTTTATTGTAGTATAGTTGTATTTATGTATAAATAACAAAATTATTTATTCTTTTCAGAAAATGAATACAGCAATATTTTATGGAAAGGCCAATAGGGAGAGTCCAGAGTCAGCTCTTCCATGTGATGAGAGGGATGATAAGTTAGCACTCAGTGAAGCTTAAATGATAGGGATCTACTTATTTTTGGTTTGCATGAATTCCGAGTAAATAAATCTATCAATTTCTAAAAGAAATGTGCATTTAAAAAGAAAAGAAAATCAGAATTTTATAGAAAAACTACTTTTTTGACCATTCTCCATTGTGGTACAGCATTGCCATATAGCAACGTTTTCCTTATTATAAAGCTGTAAAAACCAAATATGTCCATTAGATGGCGCATTAAGACCGTGTGTCAACGTCCATTGTTTTATGATATAAACATTTATTATTGATGGGTATTGTTGTTTTATTGTAATTAGTTTTAGGCTAATTTTAGTCTTATTTCATCCTGACGCCATTCCTCATGGAAACTTCAGTCAAGATAGAGGACAGACTGACACCAGCTGGCCACAACCTCATAAAGCAGGGCCTTTCCTGTAAAAGATAAACAGGTCACATGATTGTGAGGGAAACGTGATTGAGAAAGCTTGTGTATGTTTAGTGTGATGACAGTCTCACCAGTGCAGATTCAGAGCTGGACCGATGTCTCTCAAACCGACACAGGCAGTGCAGCACAGCGTCATGGATAGACGGGGAAAGTTGACTTTTTGAGATTGACTCTGAGAAGAAACCGCCTCGCTCCAACTGCTGCACTACACACACTACAGCCACACATGGGTAGTGTGAGTTGAGTTGCATTTGTTGAAGATTGATGATATATTATGCACATCTGTCCTGTCCCGTTCCACCTCCTCAGAGTCCTGCTCTGGCTGGAAGCTGCAGTTCATGTTACCGTGGGTTACTGTTGCTATGCCACTGTCATTGATGATGCATTCCTGGTCCGTTCCATGACAGTGCACAGATTCACTCACATTCTTCATGGAGACCATCATTCTGTTCGCCAGCTCTCTCAGAACTCCAGTCTATAAACAAGACACATAACCACTCAATAAAAGGGTTAACTTGACTAAATAATATCTTAAAGAACTAAAACTACTGAAAGGTTTCTGTATGTGCATGTGAGTATGTGTGGGTCAGGTTTTCCTACAACAGGGGTCGCCAACTGGCGGACTTATTTAATATATACATTTAAATATATATACATTTGTAATAATTTAAATATATACATATAAAAAAGCAACATTTATGTTAAAGACTGATTTTGAGATTATTTGACAATGCAGTCATAACACAATGACTTTATTCTCAAAATCTTTATGTTGCACTAAAATGCTGTCATATAAAAATTTTGATGATGCATTCCTGGTCCGTTCCGTGACAGTGCACAGATTCACTCGCATTCTTCATGGAGACCATCATTCTGTTCGCCAGCTCTCTCAGAACTCCAGTCTATAAACAAGACACATAACCACTCAATAAAAGGGTTAACTTGACTAAATAATATCTTAAAGAACTAAAACTACTGAAAGGTTTCTGTATGTGCATGTGAGTATGTGTGGGTCAGGTTTTCCTACAACAGGGGTCGCCAACTGGCGGACTTATTTAATATATACATTTAAATATATATACATTTGTAATAATTTAAATATATACATATAAAAAAGCAACATTTATGTTAAAGACTGATTTTGAGATTATTTTGACAATGCAGTCATAACACAATGACTTTATTCTCAAAATCTTTATGTTGCACTAAAATGCTGTCATATACAAATTCATAAATAAAGTTGTTTTTAAAAAAATCTAAAACACACAAAGAAGTTTTCTTTCAGGGGTAGGATTAGTGTGTAGTATTATGATTAATGTGTGTCTGTGCTTGTGGTATTAGGACCGAAACTCTCTTGTTTTTGTCCTCTCAGAAGAGTTTCCTGAATCCCTCATTACAGCATTCCTCTCTCACCTGTTTATCTTGTTCCTTCACTTCTTTCTTTTTTGCTTCTCCTCTTCCCTCTTTTTCAGCTTGAGCAGCTTCGGAACATTAATTCCACTCTAGAAAGAAAGAAAGAAGAGCTGAAAGCTGTTGTCTTTAATCCTGTCTTTAATTCATTTGTAGTCTTTAATTCATCTGTTGTGTGTGCTACCTTCTTTAATAGAGCCTCTTGATAGAGTTCAGCATTTGCATAGTCGATCATTGCAGAGGAACGGAAGATAGTGATACCTGGGATTGCTTTAGCCTGTCCAGAAACACAAATATAGATAATATAAGTACCATTAACAAACACACACACATGTAAATGAGAGGTTTGCCTGTAAGAAAGTCTCACCTCTTTATATGACTCTGTTTCTAAGTACAGTTCTGTGTCAGACACCCTGCCAAGCAAAGAGTACCTGGGACTACAGTACTCTGTTGCTCTTCCATAGACACTGCTTGAACATTCCCTTCAGATTCACAAACACAATGGTGGACAGCACAGCCTAATGACAAACATACGCACACACAAAACTACTACTTATAAACTGCTCAGATGTGCATATTGAGGATTAGGAGTGCCGCTTCAGAAAACAAGGAATATGTTTTAATGTATTAATCTGAAAAAGTTAATCAATCCATAAATAGGCACATTTGAAAATGCATTTAAATATATACATAAAATAATAAATCTTTTATATATATAATATATAATTTGTTGCATTTAAATAGTATTTAATATAATTTAAACATATTTTTTTAATTACGTTTAGTCATTTTAGTCCTTAAACATATTTATTTCAGGTAGTTGCCAAAGCAACATTTCCAATTTTCTAAGTGTAAGTTATTTCTATTTTATAGATCATTGCAGAGGAACGGAAGATAGTGATACCTGGGATTGCTTTAGCCTGTCCAGAAACACAAATATAGATAATATAAGTACCATTAACAAACACACACACATGTAAATGAGAGGTTTGCCTGTAAGAAAGTCTCACCTCTTTATATGACTCTGTTTCTAAGTACAGTTCTGTGTCAGACACCCTGCCAAGCAAAGAGTACCTGGGACTACAGTACTCTGTTGCTCTTCCATAGACACTGCTTGAACATTCCCTTCAGATTCACAAACACAATGGTGGACAGCACAGCCTAATGACAAACATACGCACACACAAAACTACTACTTATAAACTGCTCAGATGTGCATATTGAGGATTAGGAGTGCCGCTTCAGAAAACAAGGAATATGTTTTAATGTATTAATCTGAAAAAGTTAATCAATCCATAAATAGGCACATTTGAAAATGCATTTAAATATATACATAAAATAATAAATCTTTTATATATATAATATATAATTTGTTGCATTTAAATAGTATTTAATATAATTTAAACATATTTTTTTAATTACGTTTAGTCATTTTAGTCCTTAAACATATTTATTTCAGGTAGTTGCCAAAGCAACATTTCCAATTTTCTAAGTGTAAGTTATTTCTATTTTATATTATTTCTGCTTGATTTCAATTACTGAAAATTATTTTTAGCCTAATAGTTTTGGTTTTAGTTAAAGGAGACATATTATGCCCCTTTTTACAATATGTAATATAAGTCTCTGCTGTCCCCAGATTGTGTCTGTGAAGTTTCAGCTCAAAATACTCCACAGATCATTTATTATATAATTTTGAAAATGCCTATTTTGAGTGGAAGCAGAAACAGGCTGTTTTTCGTGCCTTTCTCTTTAAATGCAAATGAGCTGCTGCTCCACCCCCCCTTTTCCAGAATAGAGCCGCGCCATTACAGCTCGGACCTGCTAAAAAACATCTGTTTTGGTTCTGATTATCATGTTTATCGCGCTGAAATCATGCGTTTTAAACCATATGAGTTTAAACTTCTGATATACTGTTTTCTGAGCGCACACATCTGAAGCACAGCTCTTCAAAAAGTGGACCAAGCTTCAAAACTGTAATGAGCACAATAACAGCAGATATCATGCCAGCCACCTGTGTGACACAAAAAGCATATTTGAAAACCAACACTTTTCTGAGACGTTTTTGCAATTTGCAACTTTTTTTGTAAAATGTTCTGCTTGAAACTTTTTCTAAAAAATAAAAACTTTGTTTGTGTATGTGTGAACTGGTGACTGCAGTTTATATAGCTTCAAAATCCATGGTTTGCTGTTCAGCGAGGACGTTAGTTTTAAAGGGGTCATATGATGCGATTTCATTTTTTCCTTTCTCTTTAGAGCAGTGATCTTCACTATTTTTTTCACGAGAGCCGCACTTATAGGACAAAGTTAATAGGAGAGCCACTTTTACTGCAAAGTATGAAAAGTTACATCCAGTCATAAATAGCATGTCTGCTTCTCAATCTGTCATCCCTGAACATACAATATGCAATGCAATACAAAGGGGTTTATTTTTAAAAGTTATTTTTTATTAAAGTTATTTGCTTCTACATTAGCCCATCATGTATCAAACCATAAGAGCACATTCGGCGTTAAGAGCTGGAAAGATTGCCAAAACAACTCCGCAGTGAGTCAATGTCATGGACGTAAGGGCAGAGCAAGTTTAAATATCTTTCTAGTCTATATTTCCATCTTGTAATTCCGCTGTTTTGGGTATTTTTAAAATATAAATTATTTGTAATAGAGCAGACACTGACTGTTGTTCATGTATTTATGTTCTGTGCAGCCAAAGACAGAACAGTTAGCATGTTTTGCTCAAACTTTCGTCATGGCATTAGAGCTGGTACACCGTTGTCGCTTGCGAAATCAAAACAACGGCGCCGTGGGTGGAAACTTAGGCTACAGATTAAGGGGCGGTAATATTATAATGAGATCCCTTTGCCACGTCACTAGGGGAGCAAAATCAGACGCGCTCGTTTTTTCAGACGCTTGCAGAAAAAGACTTACTAAAACAAAGTTACTGGGTTAATCTTTTTCACGTTTCCTTGGTTGGTACATGCACCGGGGACCTGATTATAGCACTTAAAACCTGGAAAAGTCCGATTTTCATGATATGTCACCTTTAATAATAACAACATGGGACACAAGAGCCACCAATGAATGCAAATGTGTGGAGAGAGGTCCTGAGAGTTTTATTGATTACACATTTTAATTTCATAGTAGAACTCTGTATCACAAATACCTCTCTCTATATTAATTGTAGCTGTACACTTAGTCCAATGTTCATTTGAGTGCATGACTTACTGTGGGCAGCTCTTCAAAAAGTGGACCAAGCTTCAAAACTGTAATGAGCACAATAACAGCAGATATCATGCCAGCCACCTGTGTGACACAAAAAGCATATTTGAAAACCAACACTTTTCTGAGACGTTTTTGCAATTTGCAACTTTTTTTGTAAAATGTTCTGCTTGAAACTTTTTCTCAAAAATAAAAACTTTGTTTGTGTATGTGTGAACTGGTGACTGCAGTTTATATAGCTTCAACATCCATGGTTTGCTGTTCAGCGAGGACGTTAGTTTTAACGTCCCAGAACAATGATCGTGTTTGTGTTATGTTGATGATTGACAGCGTGACTCCGCCCCTCCCACCCGCGTCACCATGTGGTGAATCCCATCAGCGATGCCGGACTCAGCCAGAAGATGCTTGAGACTTTCAACATCAGCGCCCATACCAAAAGAACAGCATGTTAGTCTCTTTCCTATCATTATATCCCAGGAAATATCAGAAAAACTCATTTGAAGTTGCCGTTCAAAACAGGGAAGTACAACACACTTCACAGGTGAGCTGCAGCTTGCCATGGAGCGAGAGCAGTCCACGGAGCGCGGCGCCTCCTCACCCGCACCGGAGGAGCGAGCGCAGGTGAAGACACATCACCATAAACACAGCCTCGGGCGCCGGTTTGAAGTGCTGGAGACGCTGGGCAGAGGCACGTACGGCAAAGTCAAGCTCGCGTTGGAGAGACAGCGTGGAAAGACGGTGAGCGACGCCAGCTACTTGCGATGCAGTGATGTTGTTTTGAATGCTGATATGAAAAAGAAAAAAAAAAGCTAAAGTTAGTCATTCATTTGTATGACTGATGAGCTGATATCAGCATCATAAGCAACGAAAAAAGAGTATCTTCATAATGTATAAAAACTATTTATATTAGCTTCAAAATTAGGTTAATAAATAGGCTAAATCTGTTATTTTCATGCTGTTACTTTTTCATCTCTTTCTTTAAATATTCTTTTTTCTTCAGCAAGTAACGTTAGTTACCTTACTTAAATATTTAGAATATTAAAATTTTTGCAGTGCACAAAAAAACAAAAACAAACCTGGAAGTATTAAAAATGTGATTACCTGTAAAAAATCATGTACATTAATCAAATCTTAAGGAGTCAGTTATCAATATTATGCAGTGATTCTCAACCAGAGGAACCCTGATTTGCTTTGCTAAACCTCGAAAACTAACAAATAATACTTTTACTATTATGATAGGGTAAAATAGGGCTGTCACAATATTCATTCATCACAATTATTGCTTTATTATATAAGCTTTAACGTATGCCATTTTTAAGTTTACTCATAGGTGCATGATATTTCATTCTTCAAATTTATAATTTATAAATAAATAATATAAAAATGAAAAACTCTAAATGCTCGACTCAGTGTTATTTTAGTATCATTGAGATACTATTATAGTTTTTGTTAATATTTTGAATTAGAATTTAGAATTTTATATTTTCTGCTTTGATGTTAACTTTACTTAAAGTTGTATTGATTTTGTTGTGTCTGTCATTTATATCAGTTTTTGTTGTTTTTAAATATGTCTATTTTTTATTACACTTTTAGTTGTACTTATTTTAGTACATCAAGTTAAACTAAATGAAAATGAGAAATGTTGCCTTGGAAACGGACTGAAATAAAATAAGTTTTTTTTATTTATTTATTATTTTTTTAATTTCAGGTAGCATTTCTTTTATTTCAAGCAAAAAAATTTTGTATTTAGCTGTAGTTTTAGTTAACTGTGCAACCTTGGCTTGACTGTTCTCAATAAATTATGGACTCAATGTTTTTAACATACCAGAGCTCCTAATAATGGCTAAATTTCATGAATTTATTTAATCAAAAAAGAGTGTTTTTTTTTTTTTGGTGACGTGACAAATGGCTTCCTGTATGTTTGCTACACCAAACAGACTTTGATTCGACGAACATAAGTTTTCAAGTTTTTCAAAAACAAATGACTAATAAGTTTAGAACAAAACTGCTTGTTTTAAAAATATATTTGTAAAAGATTGTTAACATTTTTAAGCCTTTTAATGAGATCGGTCAGTTAAGCCACATAAACATTTGTGACTTTAAGCCACACAAAAACTATCAATATGAATTGTATGAGAAATTGAAAACGGAACATGGCAGAAGAGGTTAATTCAAGTCTGCATTAATTGGATTTTCCATGTATTTTTGAATAACTTCATTCATCATTGACCTATATATACTAACAGGCAGGCATACGTATTTGGTTCGGTGGTGTGTTTGTTTATAAGGTGCTTGTTTGTGTGCTTCAGGTGGCTATTAAATCCATTAGAAAGGACAGATTGAGGGATGATCTGGATAGAGCTCACATCCAGAGAGAAATTGAGATCACCGCCTCTCTTGTGCACCCAAATATCATCCGTCTACATGAGGGTAAAACACATCAACACATCAATGTGTGTGTGTCAAATGCTGTATCCAGAATAATGGTAATGAAATGTGTTGTGTTTTCAGTGTTCGAGAGCAGAGAGAGGATTGTGATGGTGATGGAGTACGCGAGCGGAGGAGAGCTGTATGACTACATTCAGGACAAACAGAGACTGTCAGAGGAGGAGGCCAGACACTTCTTCAGACAGATCACCTCTGCTGTGCAATACTGCCATAAAGTAAGCAAACACACTTCGGTTCTTAAAATCTCATGCCATTCATTCTGTGTATGAGCAGTTTTTCTCGAAAAGTCATTCCACCTCAAAATGCTACTAAATTGATCAAATGCTGTTTTGCTTGATCAACATTTTACCAGTTGAATGCAGTGCTGAGGGTAATGCATTACAAGCAACGCGAGATATGTAATCAGATTACTTTTTTCAAGTAACTAGTGAAGTAATGCATTACTTTTAAAGGGGTCATATGATGCGATTTCAAGTTTTCCTTTCTCTTTGGAGTGTTACAAGCTCTTGGTGCATAAAGAAGATCTGTAAAGTTGCAAAGACTAAAGTCTAAAATCCAAAGAGATATTCTTTATAAAAGTTAAGAGTCAACCACGCCTACCTAAAACGGCTCGTTCTAACACGCCCCCACATATCTACGTCACTATGTGGAAATATTAGCATAATGCCGCCCAAATGTGCACGCAAAGAAAGAAGGCGTGGTTTCAGGAACAGCAGTTAGTGTTGATGTAGCCATGTCAGGGAGACGCTGTGTGTTTCAGTGCGATAGCAAAAGCACTTTATTTGGCCTTCCGGAAGTAGATGCAATTAGGAATCATTCGTTAAGATTTATTTACAACAGAACAGCACAACCCAGATGTTCGAATTTGTGCAACGCACTTTATGGACAACAGTGTTTTGAACCTAGAAGAGCACAAGACTGGCTGTGCACAAAGGCTATTTCTAAAAAAAAAAAAAAAAAGGGCAATTCCGACTTTGCTATGACAATCTGGCGCTTCTGAATCAGCGACTGTAAGTATGTTTTGGAAAACGAAGCGTTTGAGAGAGGCGGGGCATAGAGGACCTACAATAATGTACAGTATTTGAAAAATAATGTGTTTTTTGAACATTAAAGCATGTCAACATATTCTGTTACACCAAATACACAAAATAATGATCTTTAAAATAGCATCATATGACCCCTTTAAATTTATAACGAAATATCGGAGATTCTTTTTCAAATATGTAATGCAAGTTACTTTGTTTTCCCATTTATTCACTGACACCTCTCCTGTCCCCGTGTTGAGAGAAATCAGGAGTGAGGTGAAGAGGCAGAGGAACGTCCTTCAGCCTGAGCCTTATTCATTTCACTTTTGGTGTGAAAGGGCCTTTACAATGGCCAAAAACATAACTTTTGGGTTTTTTGTTATTAAAAAAAAAAAAACAAGCCCAGCTCAGGTGACAAAAAGTAACACAAAAGTAAGTCATTACTTTCCATAAAAAGTAACTAACGCAATTAGTTACTTTTTTATGGAGTAACACAATATTGTAATGCATTACTTTTAAAAGTAACTTTCCCCAGCACTGATTGAATGTACCTGAATATAACAACTTTTAATATACAACATTCAAATTATATTCAGAAATATAGCTATATAATATTTTTTATTTACATTTGAGAAATTGGCTAGTAATGAAAAAAAAACTATTTCTTTATTATTGTATTCATCCCCTAGATAGCAGTGCTGAGAATGAGACATGTTTGACAATCTGAGTAATATTACAAACCTGAATAAAGGCCCTTTCACACCAAGGATGATAACTATGACAATAAATATAAAGTTTTAATAATCATTTAATACCATGAGGATAGTGAAGTCAAAAATGACATCTATAATGATTACGGCACAGAGAAATTATGTCATTGTAATCACTTTTTTTACATCTGATGAATGATAAAAACATTGACAGCCGTTCAGAATTCACTCAACTTTAAAGAGATTGAGTATTTAAAGCAGCACTACATGATTATAATAAACAGGACGATATTATGTGTTGGTGTGCAATTTAATATAATAATTATATTAAAAACAATCAAGTCCTGCTTATATTTAAAAAGTAACGCAAAAGTAATACAACGCATTACTTTCCATAAAAAGTAACTAAGTAACGTAATTAGTTACTTTTTTAGGGAGTAACGCAATATTGTAATGCATTACTTTTAAAAGTAACTTTCCCCAACACTGCTTATAAGTGTGACTGTGAACTGAATGTAATGTTTTGAAACTTGATTAGTACACTACAAGTGCACATACAGTACAATTAGGCCCACTTCTTTTTTCACAAGGCCATTTAATCATTTAAATCCCAATGTTTTTTCACTTCCTTGTTGGCTTCACGAGAGAGAGCGGGAGGTTGTCGCTTGGGTTTTTACAGTAAACACATCTTAAACATTGCTTCTGCTCTTTTTATGTCCCAGGTGGACTGCTGGTCTCTTGGTGTGCTGTTATATGCTCTGGTTTATGGCTCCATGCCTTTTGATGGTACAAGTTACAGCATCCTTAAAGAGCAGATACGCCATGGACGATATACGATCCCAGATGTCCTGTCAGGTGAGATTCACGCACTCCCATATATCTGCCCATCAAAGTAACATCATGAGTGAGGATTTACCATGATTCCTTCAATTCTTCCTATAGAGGCCCGTTCATTGATCGGATGGATGCTCACAGTGAAAATAGAAGACAGAGCCACTGTGGAAGATGTCGCTAATCATTGGTGGCTAAACCTAAACTGTCCAAAAGCTACAAAGAGTAAACCGTGCGCCTCCACCCTACCCAGAAAGAAACATAAGGAAAGAAGATTGACCTCAAACAGCAGCTTCGTTCTGCTGTCGCCTCTCGAGTCTTCTTCCCACAACCAGCCCACGAAGGGCATCCTGAAGAATCTCTACAGTCAGCTTGAGTACACAGACAGGTCTGGGGCTGCTGGAAACAGTACGGCAGCGACTAGCGAAGATGTGGGAAGAATCGGGACAGATAACGGGAGGAAGAGGAAGGGCATTCTTAAGTGTAATGGAAAGTTCTCCGGTGTTTCTCCAATCACGTCGGCTCCTACGTGGTCACATGGTTCCAGCAAAACTAGCCAAGAGTGTGATGGAGGTGAGCAGCAGGAGATGGAGTTTGAGATCAAGATCTCCCTGTGGAAAACACACCAGTCTACAGGCCTACACGTTCCACAGAATAGCTATTTTGATCATGTACAATGACTATAAATGCATTGAATTTAATAACAAAGAATATGGGTAACACAATAAGGTTCAATTAGTTAACATGAGTGCATTAAGTATATGTAGCATTTATTAATCTAGGTTAATATTAATGTATTATGTTATATAATTATAAAATATGAAAAACGTTATTTATTATATTTATTTAATTTATAAATATACTATTGGTCGTTGTTAATTCATGTTTGTAATATTAATGTTATACAACTTAAAATATATATTAGGAATATTATTATTAGTTATATATTATATTACGTATTAGACAGTAACATAAACCTAGATCAGAAACGCTGTATAAGTACTGTTAAATAATATGAATGAATTGCCATATATAAAGCATTGCCATATGTAACCCATTAACACTTCAAAAGATTCGTAACACTTCAAAACATTTTTTAAGGATGCATTAAATTGATCAAAAGTAACCGTAAAGACATTTATAATATTACAAAAGATTTCTATTTAAAATAAATGTACTTTTTATTCATCAAAAAATCCTGGAGCAAAATGTATTGATAATTGTAAAAAAATAAATAATAAAAAAAATGTACCAATGATAATAATAAATGTTTCTTGAGCAGCAAATCAGTATATTAAAATAATTTCTGAAGGATCATGTGACACTGGAGTAATGATGCTGAAAATTCAGCTTTGAATCACAGGAATAAATTATAGTTTACAATATACGTAAACAGCAAACAGTTATTTTAAATTGTAATAACATTTCACAATATTACTGTTTTTTTGAACAAATGCAGCCTCGGTCAGCAGAAGAGACTTTGAACGCTAGTGTATGTGCATCTTACATTTCAAGCAGCACAAAGCTGCATCATTTGATCTGTAACACGAATCATGGATTCACAGCAGTCGAACATGCTGCTGAATAACTCATAACCATAATCATCTGGAAATACCCGAGACATTAGAGCTGCTAAGATAATGTGTACTGTGAAATTGCTAATAACCCAGGTCAATTCGTTTATTTGCCTCAAAGGAAGTTAAAGCAGCTCTGAATCCGTTAATCCCAGCCCAAAAGAATAGAGGCTTTGTACGGAGCTACAGTCGTGCCCGTCTCACTTTATACTGGCATAGAAAATGGGCAAGAGTTTGAGGGCACATTCTTACAAACTTTTGCTCTCTGGCTCTCATTTGCTTTCTCACGTGAAGAGAAAATACGCTTTTCAGACCTAACGCCAGACTGATTAGCATGACACAGTAGAATTAGTATTAAAATCTCAGTTAAGCAGCGCTGTTTGGTCTTGTGTGGCCCACTAAGCGGATCATTTTTATTCTTTATTCCCTTCATTGTTTGAATGAATGAATGAGAGGATATGTGCAGTGTTTCCAAAACACTTACCTCATTTAAATTAATTTTTTGAGGAGGATTGGGGTGGGGAAAAAAAAAACAGAATCCCAAATGAAAATGCGTTGATAAAAACACCCTGAAATTGAATCATTAAAATGATCAAACTGAACGCCAACACTTTCTCATTCTAAAACTTTTTTTTTTTAATAAAAAGAGTGGAAAAAAATCCACACATATTTAGAAAACATTTAATCTCTCCAAAGTTAAATTACAAACATAATCTACATTTTTACACATTGTTGACAGTGAGAAAGTCCGTTCAAGAGTTGTCAGAGAAGACTTGACCCATGACAGCCAGTTTGGCACTGAAGGGCTGTGTGGGGCAGGAGAGCACCCGAGCTTTCCTCCTCTCTCCCGGCTTCAGTGCAATGCTCTCTCGTGAGCCGCCGGCGCCTGGCGTCTCCTCTGATTGGTCCGTCGCAGGCCTGAGTGGTTCTGAGAGGCTGATGAGTATGTCCTGTAGTTCCCTGCGCTCACTCTGATATCGGCTGCAGCAGTGGAGCGCGACAGGGTCAAGCGGATGAGCCTCTGTGTTAAACACGTAGCCGCCCGCGCTGAGTATGCAGTCGTCCTGCAGGCCGCCCAGCTCGAACTCTGTGCCCGTGTTATGAAGGAAGTTTTCAGGATCGAAGAGGAGGTAGAGGTATTTAATGGTCTCGGCCAAGAAGAAGGACTCCATGCGGTTGTCCAACTTGTGGTCCCTTACATCCTTCACCTTTGGCAGAAACAACAGGATGAGTTTGTTTAGAAACTGTGCTGGTTTCAGCCTCAAGTTTTCAGATGCATTTTGAAATGTAACCCCGAGACACTCACAGTAGCAAAACCACAGTTCACCCGGCTGATTTTGTCAATTGACTCGACTGCATCCCGGCCAAGTTGCATGAATGTCGGGTCGCCAGTGGCCTTATACAGATACATGGCACTCTCGATCAACTCTGCACAACACAAACACACACAGAGGGGTTACTTCAGTTTCATTCATTCATGTAAATGAAACCATTTTACAGCATTTAACATTGTCTTAAGAAAATGTGAGCGTTCGGAACTTGCAGTCAACATTGCCCATTATTTGCTAAGCCATTGCTTAAATGTTCTGAGTGGTTGCTAAGGTGCTACGAGGGGTTGTTAGGGCAGTGCTACAATGTTTCTGGTGGCTGTTTGGGTTGCTGTGGTGTTTTAAAGGGTTATGTTCTAAACGGTATGAGCAATAGTAACAGTGGTGCTTGCTAAATGCTGGAATACACTGCATGACTTTTAAAATCTGAACAGATTTTTAAACAGTAAGCATCATACATTTGATGACTTTGTAAATGGTTATAAAGGAAAAACAGGGCATCATACACTAAATCACTCATAGTCTGGCCCTAAAAATATCATTAATACTCTGACACTTAAAAATGTGCGCCAATTGCACACTATGCAATTTTTTTTTGCATCTGTCAACTCAAATCTGCAGACTGGTTCTGATTTTTGGCAACTACTGTCGACTCATCCAGACTAATTCGGGGCAAAAATCAGGGTAAAAGTTGTGCAGTGTATTCCTGCCCTTTAGCAACCCATTCAAATCAAATCAAATCAATGGATTTAATTATATTCCTTTCATGATGGCACAAAACATTCCAAATTTATGAAACCTCTATATTCTCTGACAAAACAAGATCAAAACAACGCATATTACTTTAGAATGTTTTCGAATTTACTTGCCTAAACTCTCACTTCTATGATGAAAAAGACGATCACATTTTCATGCTGCAATAATTTATTAAAAGTTGGCAGCAGCAACATGTGGACTTATTTTTTCAGCCTTCTTTTTCAAATTTCGATTATTTGGTCTTCGAACTTTGGTTTAGTTTATTTGTTATGTCAGTTATACGTGTTGTCTGTTTACAGTGTGTTTATGCATGCATATTCATGTTCATCAACATACTTCAGCTCTTAAAAATGTGAAAAAGGCTGAATGTATTCTATCAAAGTCATATCATATATTTTATAAACGGTTATATCTCTTAAAAAATATTAATTAAAAAATTAAATATGCATTATGTCTTCACATTTTCAAAGCTTGGTTCCCATACTAAATCCGTGCGTTTTTAGAAAAGTTCAGGAATGACTTGAATGCGTTACAAGGGTCTAATCAATGTGTTTTATAGATACCTGGGCGCAGAGGGTATCCCTCTCGTTTGTCCACGGTGTAACCTTGAGGAATGCTGTAGAACTCCGGGAGTCCTCCAAACTGACGCCACACACTGTAGTAGTTATGGAAGGTCTTTGTGGCACTGGAAATATCCCCTATCAAACTCTAATATTAAATAAACATGTGCATTACTAGCTGCCACAGGAATCTACACTCGGATGCATGCATATATAACAGAAGACTTCAAACTGGTGAAACTGGTGCTTCCCCATTTTGTGTCTTGACACAATGGACGAGTGCATGGTGACAGCTCTGCTTCCTCACCTGCAGTCCAGGCCAGAACGCCTCCAGAGACTGAAACACAGGCATTGATACTGTTCCCTTATGCATTCCATACAGTGTAGGAAACCTGGGGTCATATAAAAATGTTTGCACTTGTGTGTGAACATTGTTACTCATTTCACACGCAAAGAGGGTTTACATTGTGATCCTAATGCCCCATTTAATTCCAGGGGTCAGAAAGTGGTCACAAAAAAGTTTTTAAAATGAGCATATTTTGGTTCATATCAATCGCTAACATTATAAATAATATGATTTAAAAAAAAGAAAAAGAAAAAATGTATTTGACCCAATTTAATCAGCTTGCAAATATGTCCAGCTATGTTACAAAGCAAAAAGCTAAGTATTAATCAGATTTGGATTTCTATAAGCGTTGTGGCATAGAGATTGGGATAATAATCTGTTTTCTGTGAACACAGGGATAATTGGTTGTATACAACAGAATTTGAATCACGAGCATTCGGTCAAAGCTTTTCAGAAGAGACATTTCTGAGTGGTTTAACTACTACTGACTGGCTGCGGTCAGTAGGACTGTTGGGTACATGCAGGTCATTCAGGACAATTTACTTCCATACACTGTGCATCACAGAACAAGTCAAATGTTAAGGTACCAGTGAAAAAGTTAATATTGCATTCTGTTAAAGGAATAGTTCACGCAAAAAAAGAAAATTTGCGGAAAAATGTGCTCACTCTCTGGACACTGATCAGTTAACATCTTGAAATGTTAGTGTTTGTAAGAAACAAATCCATCATTAAGACGTTTTTAACTTCACACCATTGCTTCTGCCTAATATACAAGTCATAATATTTCTTTCTCCAGTGAAAAAGTCGTCTCATCTGAATCAGGACCGTTTACAGTCCAAAACAAATATGTGGGTGGATTTTGATGCGAGAGGACAACAGGAGATTAACTTTTTCACTGGAGGAACGGTTATTCCCTCAAATAGTGCCCTATTTAAGGGTATGGGGGCGATTTCGGACAGCCATAGACTCATTTTGTTTAAATAAGTTAAAATGCCTTAATGATGGATTTGTTTTCTTAAACGCAGCTTTTCACTTCACAAGACATTAACTGATGGACTGGAGTGGTGTGGATTACTTGTGCATTATTGTGATGTTTTTATCAGCTGTTTGGACTCTCATTCTGACGGCACCCATTCACTGCAGAGCATCCATTGGTGAACAAGTGATGCAATGCTACATTTCTCCAAATCTGTTCCCATGAAGAAACAAACTCATCTACATCTGGGATGGCTTGAGGGTGAGTACATTTTCAGCATTTTTTTTTTTATTATTCCTTTAATATTTCACATTGTGGAGTTAAAACCAAAGAATATTAATATTCACTACACAGCATGATTGTCCTATAAATGGCTTGATCCAGATCAAAAGGTTTTACCAGGCCAATATCTGAGCGTGTTCTCCATAAGGCCCTGAGAGCTTTGCGAGCCACGTTCTCAAACACGGGGTCTCCAGTCAGTCGGCTGAGGGTGGAGAACTCCAGGATGAAGGTGCCCACTCCAGCAGTGCAGGTGACCGGGGTCTCAGAGGGGTTCACCCACCTCAGCAGGTTCACCGTGCCATATGGCATCCCTGTGGGGGTCTGGAAAGCTGAGAAGAGACAGGATATATGAAACTGACAGCATTATTCAATTATCATGATCAAATTACTTAAAGGGGTCATTTGATGTTGCTAAAAAGAACATTATTTTGTGTATTTGGTGTAATGAAATGTGTTTATGCGGTTTAAGGTTAAAAAAACACATTGTTTTCCACATACTGTACATTATTGTTTCTCCTCTATACCCCGACTTTCTGAAACATGTTGATTTTAACAAAGCTCATCGGTCTGAAAAGCGAGGTGTGCTGTGATTGGCCAGCTATCCAGTGCGTTGTGATTGGCCGAATACCTCAAGCGTGTGACGGAAATGTTACGCCCCTCACCATACTGTGATGCCTTGTCCCTGCGCGACGAGACAAAAACATTAAAACCCATTATAAGCGAGGCATTTGTTGCATCCAGTGGGGACATAATTACTGATTATAATGACTTATACTGGTCGATGGCTTATAATGACTTATACACAAAAGCCCTGGATTTGTCAAAACTCTGCCTGATTATGTGTTTTATGTCATCTGGCATCCTTTTGCTGACAAATAAACTGAGATATCTTGAAAAATAATACACATTGTTCATTCACTTTACACTACCCACATTTTAACAATACAACATCGCACTAACCACGTCACTAACAAAATGTTTTGCGCTAACATTTACATGTAATCATTTTTGCAGACACTTTTATCCAAAGTGACAATCTGGCATCCTTTTGCTGACAAATAAACTGAGATATCTTGAAAAATAATACACATTGTTCATTCACTTACACTACCCACATTTTAACAATACAACATCGCACTAACCACGTCACTAACAAAATGTTTTATCCAAAGTGACGCACAAATGAAAACTGAAACAAATGTTTCATGCTAAATATGTTTCAGACAGCCTTATTATTTATGAATATATGGTCTGAACTCTGAAGCATATCTTAGCTCCCTCACCTGGCAGCAGTTTGCAGGCAGCATCCTCTGCCATGCGCAGAAGGGGTCCGGAGCAGGGCCAGCCCTCCTCCACCTCCACCCCGGCACGCTTGGAAAGCAGATGAGCCGAGAGAAGCCCACCAACCACTGCAGAACATCAGCACATACACTGGTGAAACTCGCTCAGTGTCAGTGACTACAGGCCAGTATTACAGGATAAGTACGTTTCCCAAAAACACGTCCGGGTCATATTTCACCCCAAATTCTGTTTTGCATTGTGCATTATATTCATGACAATAATGCACATTAACACATTTTGCAGTAATGCAAAAAAAAATATTATTTAATAAAAGAATATACAGATATACAAAAATGTTTTCTTTAGATTTTTGGATTTATTTTGAAATAGGGCTTTGCCATGTTCATCCAAGAAGGCCAAACACAATTTAAAAAATAAAACTTTACCTCGTATATTTGTCTCAAACACAGATGCATTAACATCAGTGTCGAAATCAACCATGTCCTGGAGCAGAGTGGCCACACGCTGGAACTCTGTGTGGTTTCCCAATATCTGCGATCAGAGAGGAAAAATATGCTCTGCTTCTGAACACTGCATGGCACGGAAGAATCTGGTTGAATTAAATTTCATACCAGCAATGTGTCCAGAGCATCAATGAGTGTGAGGAAGAAACTTAAGGAAACAAATAGAGAGGTCATAATGAGAGAATATGACTTCTAAATCTTACTGTATGTTTCAATAGGAGAAATAATATATTACAGACAAAACTCAATTGCTGTTGTTCAATTCCACAGTAAGAAACAGGAGTGAATAAAGCCACTGAAAAATACAATTATACCAGCTTTCCCAGTGATACTGTGGGCCAAAGACATCACTGAATATAAAAGAAGTGATATGAACATTTTACACCGGTAAAGTTTGATCAAGAAAACCCGACTGCTGTTTATTTTAATCTTGTGGAACATATATATATATATTTTTGATGTTAAGGCTACTTTCATACAAAGAACAAAGTGAATAACAGAAGAAAATTAAATAAATAGATAAATAAATAAAACATGATTAATACAAAACAAAATAAATCTAAAATACATTCAGGTGATACTTTTTTTAAATACATTGTTAAACAAATATTTGAGTAAAAATGTTGTCTATTTACATGAAAAACTGCAGTCCAGTAAAATACGTTTGATCAAGAAAACCCGACTGCTGTTTATTTTAATCTTGTGGAACATATATATATATATTTTTGATGTTAAGGCTACTTTCATACAAAGAACAAAGTGAATAACAGAAGAAAATTAAATAAATAGATAAATAAATAAAACATGATTAATACAAAACAAAATAAATCTAAAATACATTCAGGTGATACTTTTTTAAAATACATTGTTAAACAAATATTTGAGTAAAAATGTTGTCTATTTACATGAAAAACTGCAGTCCAGTAAAATACGTTTAACAGTCAAAGAGGTTTGACAAGGAAGGCCTTATGGTGCTTCTTCACCTTCAGTATCAGGCATTATATTATATTATAGGCTACAGGTGACTAGTGTAGTACACACAGAACAAGCTTACTGCTGACATGTATATTTACACATGAGCATATGGCAAAGCTGATTGACTTACTGACTGACAGTAAAAACATGTGCTTGTATTTGTTAGAGCAGCAGTAGAAACTCTATACGGCACCCTGAACATCGGAAGTACTTATTACACATCAATAATGAACGCTGAATGTGGCATATCATAAAGAAATCTCACCTGTAATGGGACATTTCCTGCTCAGTAAAATCTGTGCCTTCAACATGACTGATGATCGGAGACAGGTATGCGGCGCAAAAAACGGCGGAGAAAAGGAAAGTAAGCATGAAGTAACGGGATGTGAGCAGAGGCAAACAATACAACAATTTCAAGCGACATGGATATGCACAAATAATATTACAAACAGTGGCAATAGGAAGTGCAGGTACTGCGCATGCGTGTGAGCAAAAGCTGACGCTGCCGAGTTTAAAATAAAAGCCCTGCGACTGCGATTGAGAAAATAAAAGTCCTCGGTACTGAAAACACGATTGTGAAGAAATAATAATAAAAAAATAAATAAAAAAATAAAATAAAATTTGAAAAAGACGCATGTCACCCTTTAAGTCTTTTCAGAGTTTTTATTAATTTATTTTTAAATCTACCTACAGAAAAAAGTGGACTTATAGAAGGAATCAACAAAACAAGACTAATCAGCAGCACCTAAGCAGCAAATTGATGTCTGGCAGTTTCCAAAATATCATCTATTACTATCCAATAAAAGTTCAAACAAAGTAATTCAGACAAATAAGCACCTTCTTTTACCCAACACAGGTTTTACAAGATGAATCCACTGAAAAGGTAGGAGATATGTTACTGAGACAGCTTATCTTGAGTAATGTTATGTTATGATGGTACAACCATTAGCATTGGAACCATGAGAACATGAATAACGTTGTCAACTTTAAATTATTACAGTTGTTATTTTGGCTCATTATGCAGCACCAGATGTGAGTGTGCCATGTATATATGTGCATCTAACTGTGCATGTAACTGTTTAACATGAATAGCTTTTAAACTTGCTATACACAAAACATATATAGTGCTATCAAATAACAGATATACAACCAGAAGTAGAAACGTATAACCATAGAGCGTCTTATGAGTTCGACACAATCTCAGTTTATCATTACACTGAAGAAGTTTGATACAAAACACTTGGTGTTTCTTTTTTATTAAAAAGTGAAAGTGAATAAATAATGATAAAGGGAAAGTTAATGTGCATAATGTTTTAAATAATGTGTAATGCTGAACTGAGACCTGTGTATGCTGTAATTTAATAAGCGGTCACACTCAGCAGCCTCTGCCAGCAGTTTATAAGCATTCCCATCATTTTCATTCTCCGCCGCTGTCTTCCTTTTCCTTTCTTCCCTGGTTTGCAAGATGCTTTTTTCCGTCTATCTGCCTGCAAAATAATACATATTTCTACATCATGTTAAATCCTCTCTTTATTTCAGATTATCATAATTATTCAGATTAACTTTATTTTGATTATTTAATCAACAAACAAACAAAAAATGTATTTAAATTATAAAAAAATTGATTATTAAATACAAAAATTTCTAGATAATTTTACCCTGTTTACTTCAGATTATGATTATACAGACTTTATTTTGATTAAATAAATAAATAAATAAATTTCTAGACCATGTCTTCCTGTTTATATCAGATTATAATTATTCAGAGTAACTTTATTTTGATTATTCAATCATAAATAAACAAATACATTTCTAGATCATGTTATCTTATTTAGAATATAATTATTTAGTATACGTTTATTTTGATTATTTAATAAATAAATAAAGAAACAAACAAACAAATAAATCCATTTCAAGATCATGTACCTCTATTTATCATTCACCTCTGTTTATTTTAGATTATAATTATTCGGATTAGCTCTATTTTGATTATTCATTCAACAAACCATCAAACAAACATACAAACAAAAAATAAATAAATTGTGATTATTCAGTCAACAAATAAATAAACGAATACATTTCTGGATCATCATCCCCCATTTGTTTCAGTTCTAATTATTCGGATTAACTTTATGTAGATAGATAGATAGATAGACAGACAGACAGACAGACAGACAGACAGACAGACAGACAGACAGATACATAGATAGATAGACAGACAGACAGACAGACAGATACATAGATAGATAGATAGATAGACAGACAGACAGACAGACAGACAGACAGACAGATAGATAGATAGATAGATAGATAGATGGATAGATTGTCATCCTCAGTTTATTTCATATCATAATTATTCAGATTAAATTTATTTTGATTATGTAATAAATAAATTTCTAAATCATGTCATCCTCTGTTTATAGTAGATGATAGTTATTCAGATTAACTTTATTTAGACAGACAAACAAACAAATACATTTCTAGATAATTTTATCCTGTTCATTTCAGTTTATAATTATTAAGGTTAACTTTGTTTTGATTATTCAGTCAACAAACAAACAAACAAAAACAAAGAGATAAATATTATACCAATCTTTCTGGTTTGCGGCAGTTTCGTGTGATGAGCAGCTGCATTTGTCCCACCACCTTTGTCATGCGATCTGCATGCTGGTGTCTCTGCCGTTCACTCAAGCAGCTGAAAATTTGGGTCATATTATAGATATATCGCAGGATACGGTGAACCTACCAGCAAAACACACTGTATCGATTATTAAGACATCACCAAACAGAAAAAAGCTCAGTGGCAACTGTCTCGAAAAACTTTAAAGACCAAATGTTGTGTTAAGGAAACATACATGTAGCCATGTACAGGTGGCTGTACCTTCTCAGAAGGACAGTGGTCCTTTTCTTTTGATATGTCAAATGTACCAGTCAGATTCTGGGCCCAGAGAGAAAAGCACTTGACATAAAAAAGCACTCAGACAGTTCATCTTCTACAGGTCACCAGAAGAGGGCAGCAAGTAACCATATATACTGACTACTTCATACTTTAAACAGGACAAGAATGCTTATATAACGTGTTAGATGATCAAACAGCAACGGCAAGTCAGATTTTCTAAAATTTCAATACATAGTCTGTTTGAACACATGAACTGGGGTTATGAAATACGACACTTACCAGGTTTTGGAGCTCAACCAGGATGAGAGCCCTGTAGGTGCTGATGATCGCAGTATAATCACATGCACGTTTACTGTGCGCCGCTGCGAGCAGCAGCATTACAGTCACACAGACAGCAGGCCTGTTCACACACTGCACACAACACATGCATCTGCATCACAAATGCTATCTCATCCTTATTCGTATTTTTTATATATATATATATATATATCTCAAAAGAGTTTTTGGAGTATTTTATGCAGACTTGTCAACTACAAATCAAAGTGCATTTGCTATATGGCTGCTATAAAACACATGACCAGAGCTGATGTGTGACAAAACTTTATAAAACATGTCATTACACACACGTAGGCCTACAACTACAATAAAATAAATTATACTAGATTGAAAAGTTTGTAGACAAACTTTAAGTTGGCTTGAAAAAGCCTAGCCAGAAAGTTTTAAAAAGTTTTAAAAGCTTGAAGTTTGAAGGTTTTCAGTTTGAAGTAGTTTGACATTTAAAATAGTTTTTAAGATTAAAGTTTGAATGTTTTGAAAGCAATAAGAGTCTATCAGAAAAACAGATGTGGTTGCTGGGGTGTTGCTATGCAGTTGCTAGGGTATTCAGGGTGTTGCTATGGTACCCAGAGTGGTTGCTAGGGTGTTTCTAGAATGACTAGCATGTTATAAGTATGTTGATAGCATGATTAGCAAGTTACTAGCATGATGATAGCATGTTACTAGCATGTTCTAGCATGATTAGCAAGTTACTAGCATGTTGCTAGCATTTTCCTAGCATGATTAACATGTTACTAACATGTTGTTAGCATGACTCGCATGTTAACATGTTTCTAGCATGATTAGCATGTTACTAGCATATTGCTAGCATGATTAACAGGTTAACATGTTATTAGCATGTTTCTAGCATGATTGGCATGCTGCTAGTATGTTTTTAACGTGATTTAACATATTGTAAATGAAAAAAATCCATCTAAAACCAGGTAAAACCAGCTGATTCAGTAAAAAAACCCCAGCTAGAAACCAGTTAAAATAGGCTAAAACCAGCTGAATTACCAAAAAGCCAGTTAAAAAACCAGTTAACCCGAGTCAGAACAGTCTGAAGAGCTGGGCTGAGTTTGGTGGTTCTAGCTTGAAAGCTCTAGGAGGAGTAGCGTACAGAAATTTAGTCTAAGAATAATAATAATAATAAGAAAAAGAAGATTAGCATATTACTAGCATGTTTGTAGCATGATTAGCAAGTTACTAGCAGGGTTTTAGCACGATTAGCATGTTGCTAGCATGATTAGCATGTTACTAACATGTTAACATGATTAGCATGTTACTAGCATGTTTTTAACATGATTAGCATGTTACTAGCATGATTAGCAAGTTACTAGCATGTTCTAGCATGACTAGCATGTTGCTATCATGATTAACATGTTATTAGCATTTTTCTAGCATGATTAGCATGTTGTTAGCATGATTAGCATGTTATTAGCATGTATATGGCATGATTAGCATGCTGCTAGTACGTTTTTAACGCGATTTAACATTGTAATTAGGCTCTATTAATAATTATATAGGCTTTATTATTCTATTCTATTCTATCATTATTCTGGTAAATAATAAATAAATACATTTAATGGCTCTATTATTATTGTCTTATTATTTTATTATTCTGATCACAGCATATTAAACATGTCTCATTTGTGACCGTGGGAAACCCTGAGTTCCATTTTGAATAAAAAACTGATTATAATTAAATAGTTTATATAGATAATACATAATATAAAGCAGTATTGTCACATTAAATGAAACAAATAATAGCAGTATTGAGGCATTAACCCAAACAAAGTAAACGTAAAAAAAAAGAAACATGCAAATATTATCATTCCTTCTTTTCCTCACTATTGCCTGGCAAATATTGTGTTAATTTGGTCGCATTGAGCAACTGGACCATTTTATGTTTTCGAGGATTTCCATTTATATGATAGAAGAGTAAAACACATACGTCTATACTGTAAGCATGTATAAAGGTTTAAAAAAACATTTTGAATAAACTCATGCAGTTTGTTACTGAGCTACCTAAACGCACGTGTTCACTGTTATCAGCTAATACTTCTGGAATTCAATTGGTTAATTTACAGTTTGATAAGGACACTTTCCTCTGGTTGTAATGCCATTATGCAGTTTATCTGCTGATTGAGACACAGAACAGAAGCAGTCGTAGTGCGCAGTGATGCAGTGGGATCTTACCATTGACCATGGGATGATGAGGGACTCTGGCGCGCACCAGTCAGGGCTTGGAAAGGTGGACATGGTCCAGCGGCGTCCAACGCCTCTTACATGTTTCTCACAGAAAACTTCAACAACGGTCCGAGCGGAAATAATAATAATGATCGACTTTAAATAGGCGTTTTTGGTCTAGTTGGAGTTGGAGCTCCGGCGAGAGGCGCGTCCATTCCAGCATTGGCGAGAGTCTCGTGTGTCTCAGCCGTCATGGGCTGCTCGCATCGCGCTTTGGGTTTCACCAGATCTCTAGTCTGATCAAGTCGAGAAAACTTCCGCGATTAATCAACTTTGCGCTTTGTTTCGGTTTCGGTGGGAGATCACTTTATAACTGAAGGGTCCACTGCTTAGGGACCTAAGTGCGCGGACTGCACGAAGGCTTTGGCACGGCTGTGATCAGGAAACGACTCTTTATTTACACTGATTTATAAGTGGACAGACAAATCCTTTAGTCTTTTTATTGTGTCCAGACATTTGTGTCAGGCTTCAACGCCTAGAATATTTCAGTGTGGCCTTCAGCTGATAAAATCACTACATCCCGCATGTTTCACACATGATTTGATTTTCCTAGAAGAAATTCCAGTGCTTAAAGGCAGAAAAAAAAATTGTGTAACGTTTTATGCCAGCATAAGTTTTAGTCAGGGTCATCCCGGGCCCTCTAAAGTAGGGGTCCTCTACAGCAGGTCCTCACTTCATCTCCTTTTGATGAACCTTACACCTATTATATCATGAGCTCATTAGCAGAATAAAGACATGTATAGATGATTAAACTGATGTAAGAATAGACCAATCACAATTCAGTATGCAAATAAATGCAAAAAACAAGACTAATCATGATGTAGAATACTGCAATGGTATAATTGTCATAGGAACATTTTCAAACATTAATCTCTTAAGTATAAAAGTTTTTAAACCAAGTGCTTAAAGGCAGAAAAAAAAATTGTGTAACGTTTTATGCCAGCATAAGTTTTAGTCAGGGTCATCCCGGGCCCTCTAAAGTAGGGGTCCTCTACAGCAGGTCCTCACTTCATCTCCTTTTGATGAACCTTACACCTATTATATCATGAGCTCATTAGCAGAATAAAGACATGTATAGATGATTAAACTGATGTAAGAATAGACCAATCACAATTCAGTATGCAAATAAATGCAAAAAACAAGACTAATCATGATGTAGAATACTGCAATGGTATCATAATTGTCATACGGAACATTTTCAAACATTAATCTCTTAAGTATAAAAGTTTTTAAACCAAAAGTAAACACCTAAAGAGAACATGAAGTACAAAATGTATGAACAGTTACATCAAGGAAGTAACTGTTAGTTCACCCAAAACTGAAAATTTACTTAACTTCATGCCATGCCAGATTTACCCAAACAGCTGATAAAAACATCACAATAATCCACACCACTCCAGTCCTGTGAAGTGAAAAGAGAAACAAATTCATCAAGAAGTTCTAACTTTAAACTGTCGCTTCTGGCCAAAATATGAGTCCATAATCCATAACAATGATTCCTCCAGTGAAAAAGTCAGTCTCTTGTTGTCTCCTCTAACATCAAAACCCACCAACATATTTATCTAGAAGTGTTATGGTACTGTTTTTGCTAGTGATCTGTGCAGATTTCTCTCCTGATTCAGATGAGATGACTTTTTCACTGGAGGAATCATTATTATGGATTATGGACTCATATTTTGGCCAGAAGCGACGGTTTAAAGTTAGAACTTCTTGATGAATTTGTTTCTTTTTTGGATCCACTGGTGAGCAAGTGATGCAATGCTACATTTCTCAAAATCGGTTCAATTGTGTAATATATTGTGTAATTTTTTCCCTTTTAATTTACGGTCACAACATCATGTTGTTGTTTTTTTCTTTGCATGTCATATGAGGGGCTCTGCCTTTCTGATGCAACCAGCTAAAAAATTATATTCAGAACAGGCTGAAGGAGAATTTGCAGTTAGAAAGGGGTTAGAGATGATTTAAAAAGAAAAGAAAAAAACAAACAAACATAAATCAGCACAATAATAGCATGCAGAATTTAACAAGCCAACATAGAACTAGGATGACTGAGAAATACCAAAATCACCAACACTGTAATTATCACATTAGCACTGACATCTAAAACATTTATTTTCTGTTTTATCAGCTGTTTGGACTCTCATTCTGACGGCACCCATTCACTGCAGAGGATCCATTGCTGAGCAAGTGATGCAATGCTACATTTCTCAAAATCGGTTCAATTGTGTAATATACTGTGTAATTTTTTCCCTTTTAATTTACGGTCACAACATGATGTTGTTGTTTTTTTCTTTGCAAGTCATATGAGGGGCTCTGCATTTCTGATGCAACCAGCTAAAAAATTATATTCAGAACAGGCTGAAGGAGAATTTGCAGTTAGAAAGGGGTTAGAGATGATTTAAAAAGAAAAGAAAAAAACAAACAAACATAAATCAGCACAATAATAGCATGCAGAATTTAACAAGCCAACATAGAACTAGGATGACTGAGAAATACCAAAATCACCAACACTGTAATTATCACATTAGCACTGACATCTAAAACATTTATGTTGTTGTTTTTTTCTTTGCAAGGCATATGAGGGGCTCTGCATTTCTGATGCAACCAGCTAAAAAATTATATTCAGAACAGGCTGAAGGAGAATTTGCAGTTAGAAAGGGGTTAGAGATAGATTATTTAAAAAGAAAAGAAAAAAAACAAACAAACATAAATCAGCACAATAATAGCATGCAGAATTTAACAAGCCAACATAGAACTAGGATGACTGAGAAATACCAAAATCACCAACACTGTAATTATCACATTAGCACTGACATCTAAAACATTTATTTTCTGATAAGCAGCACATTTACACATTAGCATGAGAAGCAGAGTAAGAGATAATTCTGGCAATTAATGTTCAAAATGGACTCATATCTCTGGGTGTGACTATACTTTAGACCACCCTGAACATAACAGCATGTGTAATGAAAACAGCCCTGTTCCAGAGGAACAAACACACGAAAAACACACCAATCCATAGTGGAAAAAAGCCAAAAAAAAAAAAAAAAAAAAGATTTGCGAATCTGCCATTAGTCCCACAGTTCAGAAGGTGTTTTTGATCTTCGAAGCCACGAGGACCAGGATCTCTCCGATGTTCTTCTGCCAGTTGAGAACGTGTTTGGATTCAGCGCACCACAGCTCACCGTGCCGTGGCTCTGCGTTCTCACAGCGCTTCTTCACCTCCAGCTGTTGCTCCTGAGTTAGAGAAGAACACCAGAGTAAGACAAGATTCACCAAGGATGGAAAACAGCAAGCAGTACATCCTTCAAAACATCTCCTTTTGTGCTTCACGAAAGAATGAGATTTCATTAGAAAAGATCTGAGAATAAAACGTCTTACTTCCGTCCCGTGCTGAAGCTCAAACTTGTAGAAGAATGCCCAGGCGTCGCCCAAGTCTGGTTCGATCTTTACCGTCCGCAGGAACCACTCTCTCGCCTTTGTTATCTTTCTCTCGCTCCAAAACAATCTGCAGGGCACACAAACAGATATAGTATTAATGAAACTAAAACGTTCAGACTGTTCTTGCCAAACGAGGAATAAAAGGGAGGAGGAATGTGGATAGGTAAACTGGAATTTAGGGTTGGGAGAATTTTGTAAAGAGTCCGGTCAGGAGACTTACTTGGCCACAGCTAGAAGTACATGAGGATCATGTTCACACTTTTTCAGAGCGTCAACACTCTTGGTCTTGCGCTGAGGTCTGGCCTCCAGGAACACGGCTTCAGCCCACAGGATACCTGACAGGAAGGAGTGAGTGTTGAGGCTCTTGACGGATCTGTTCAGGGTTGATGAAAGCGTGGCTTACCAGAGTTAGGACACTCCTGAAGGGCTTTGGCCATGAGTGTGTTGGCGATGTTTTTCAATCCCGCTCTGTATTCAAGTCGGACAGACTCCAGCCTGCCAGAGAAATTGAGATTAAAATTACGTGTTATTTTGGTGAGATTCTGTCATGACATGAAAATGATTAAGAAATTTAATTTAATTGCATGTAGCCTTCAACGCAAAGTAGTTCTGCCATTTTTCTGCTGTCTTTTGGCAAGATCCAAGTTCAAGCTGAGCTGTCAGTCAGACAGCAGCCAGGGGTAAATTTACACAAGCTATTGTGAAGAGGGCTGGATCATGAATATTAAGTAACATGCTCATGGAGGGCCACTTCCCAGCAGAGTTTAGCTCTAAAACAAGTTTCTAATGATCTTGAAGACCTTGATTAGCTGGAAAAGTGGTCCTCCGGGAGCAGTACTGGAAACCCCACACTTAAACCCAGCTTAAGTGATTTGCTAAAATGCAGTTATTACTAATTATTTGCTAGGAGGCTGGCAAATAGAAAAAGGCCTTGCTCATGAATATTAATTAGGTTATGTGACTGAATGTTTCTGGAATATACTGTGGCAACGTCAACACAACCTAATTAAAGTTAATTCTAATTAAACCTAATTAATTAAAAGTGCGCCGCCCAACTGCACAATACAACTTCTACATGTGAAAAGCCTTTTTATTAGTATTTAGACATTCATTAATTCATCTTTTTCATACTAATATTTAAATTCTTTCTTTGCAGACAATCATTTAATTGATTTAATCGAGACTTGTTATAGCACTTGCATATCATTGCTCTTTTGTTGTTTTTGATTGCTTCTATTGTCATCATTTGTAAGTCGCTTTGGATAAAAGCGTCTGCTAAATGACTAAATTTAAATGTAATTAATATTCATTAGCTAAGCCACTGTCATAGTAGAACTGTGCCACTTGCATAGTAACTGTCGTGAAGAAACATTAAAAAAAAGTACCATTAGTCATATTTTAGCATAAGCTTTTTTACTGAAGTGCAAGTACATCTGACTAGTGTTATTTTAGATTTTATATACTATTATTAATATTTTGATTTAGCTTTTAAAGTGCCCCTATTATGGGTTATGAAAGGTTCATATTTTGGTTTTGGGAGTCCCCAACAACAGGTTGACATGCATGCAAGGTCAAAAAACACTTTCATTGTCTTATAATATGCATTTATTTTTACCTTATTTGCTTAACGACTCCCAAACGATTCGTTTAACGATTCATTTTTCCAAACCCCTCCTTTGACGCTAATCTGCGGTGATTGGTCCGATTGGTCTTATTTTAATTTCATCATGCCTGTAATGCCTGATAAAGCAGCGTTTGTGAGCGCAGTGCTGCTTTGTGTACAGCGTTACCGGGGAAACTGCTATTTTTACGGCTCTAAAAGCTGCACCTAGTGGCAAAGAATGAATTTGCATTTTCATTCAGACCAACACGAAAAGACCAACAAGTGGGCGGGCAATATGCTAATGTTTCACGTTGACGTCAACATGAAACGGCTTGGGATTGGTTTTAAAAACGACTCGTTTTAATGATTCAGAGTCGACTCTTTCTTTTGAGAGACAATAACTTTATACACGGTGCACTTTCAGATTTAAAACTTTGCAGGATGTTTTCATTCCCTTAGAGCTGTGTTACACACTGCATGAAAGGTATATTTCAAAAATCCATAATAGGGGCACTTTAAATTTATATTTTCAATTTTAATTTAAGTTTAGGTTTCAGTTTTGTTACATGCTTTTGTTTATTTTTATTAGCTTTTTTACTATTTCTATGTAGCTTTATTTGATTGCAGTTAGTAATTTTAGTACCTATTTCAGCTAGCTGTCAAGAGAACATTTCAAATGTTCATGTTTAGCGTATAATAAAACATATTATAATTTAATATCTTTTGTTTTGGTTAATAACACAGCAGCATTTGGCATGGTTTCTTACCAAATCTCAGGGGTTTGTGGATTCTTGAGGCGAGCTTTCTCTAAGATGGCTCGAGCACGCGTGAGCTGGCCGACTCTCTCTTCCAGCTGAGACAGAAGGAGCCATAATGACATGGAATGAGGGCACTTCTTCAGCTGAATGGACACAGCAGAGAGGAGGCATCAGAGAAACACTATTATCACGCAGTCCCACTGAATTACAGAATTAGGTTCTGCAAAAATCAACCAACAATCTATCCACACTAAAATGTTCAATTATAATAAGGCATCTTCTCTAGAGCCTCATAAACGTACTCCCTGGTTGTAGGCCTCTCGTGCTTTATCGATGTTCTCTGACTGCTCCTCGATCTGTCCTCTCATCATCCAAAGCTTGGGGAAATCCTCATAGTGCTTCAGGGCCTCCGTACAAAGCTCCTGTGCCGCTTCAATATTCCCCAGCACCCACTCCAGCCTCACCGACTTCATAAACACCTGCGAACGGCACACAGAAAACAGTTATGACAACTCATATAATGCGTTTAACAGCCTTTAAAGCCCCTGACATCTTGAACATGATTATTAGGAATGTGTGAAATGCATAAAGGTGTCAACGAAACAGCCAGGGAGATTTTCATAATCCCTTTCCCGTTTGAAGCTCACATGGCTAGTTTCCATAGATGCAGAAAAACATAATTGTGTATTTTTTTTTGGATAACATTATCACTTATGAGGAATCCTGCCAAGTGCTTGAGGTACATTTGATCCTGTGATATTTGTCTAGATGCTGACACTCTTTCCTGGAGCCAAGAGTTAAACAAGCCCAGGCAAGAGGCCTTTCTAACACCTTCCATCTGCACCATTTACTCCCAAAAATCCCACGCTCCTTTACAGGGTACAGAGCAAGCACATCTGCTGTGAGGAGGTTACCATCCACTTACAGAGCTCATTTGACATAATCCCTGACCACATTTCTGGGCCAACATTTTGTAAAAACAATACTGTGCAAAATTCACCGCCTTGAATCCATAAATGTTCATAAAACATTTTTTGCAGTCCACTTTTGGTGCAGGCAGTGCATCTTTCTCATGTCAAACTCAATGACAGGCAGATATGTACTCTCTGACACAGAGTCAACATCAAGTTTTTCAAGGACAAGTTAAAGTCACATCTCAATTCTTAACTTTATATGCAAAGTCTAAAACAGCTTTTTTTTTTATGGGAGTGAGGGGTAAAATGAGTCAGTGGGTGATCAGTGTCACCCCTTAATATAGCAAACTGCACATGATTATAGATTCAGAAATCATATACAGTTGTTTTTTTAAAAATAAAACAACATGTATAGTATATAAGTGAAATACATTTAACCCCTTTTAAAAGGGTTAAATGTATTGCATGTCAAAGCCAATTATATGATTACTATATATAATAATATTATTTGTATTATATGTATATAAATTATATGTATAAATATATATAAAATATATTATTAAATATGTAGTATAATACTATATTATATTTAACTGAATATATTATTAAATATGTAGTATAATACTATAATATTATATTTAACTGAAACTAAAACCATAAAAAAAAATTTTCTAACTTTAAGTGAAGCATTACGTGAAATAAAATATTAAAAAATAAAAAAATAAAAAAGTAAACATTTTATTTCAGCAAGTTTCAAGCAACATTTCTCATTTAGTTTAACTTGTTTTATTAAAATAACTAAAACTGAAGTAAAAAAAGAATAAAAATAATACAGATAAAAAAAATAACTCCAAAATGAAAGTATAAAATATAAAAAAATAATTAAAAATAGGAATAAAAACTTTAGAAATTAAATTATGAATTTTGTATTTACTGTACTTTACTAAATAATTAAACAAACACTTAAAAATATATTTTAAAAAATGTAATCTCAATTATACTAGAATTACCTTTTTTGGCTAAATATTAGCCATGAATTACTAAAATTAAGCATTTTATTAAAACAGTAGTTGTGTGAAAAACTGTGTCAGATGCTTTGGGGTAAGCCGAGTCAGCGGTTCATGCAGGAAAATACTCTTTCAAATACAGTTACACAACGTTTCTGAATATACTTTTTTCCTGGATGGTTTAATATAATTATGTTCTGCAAAACTGCCTGTGATTAAGCAAAAAATTTTTTTTTTCTAATTTGTTTAACTGAAAAGTAAATGAGTCACACATTCAGCAACGATTTAACTTAACCCTTGATATGACATGGTGGCTAACATGGGCCAATTTGTCAGTGGTCCACTTTTTAAATGAAATATTATTAAGATTATTAGTTCAAACTTGAGCGTAGCCTCATCTCTGCTGACAGGTGCATAGTCTGATATGCTTAAAAAAATATGCACACATTCAAAAAGGTCAAAGGACTTTCTTTAGCCATCGTAAATCATCTTCCCGCTAGTGTCACATTCAACAGCCTGTTGCACAAGCATTTCTACAGAGTGACTCACCCTACATCCACTGATCTCATCACTTATCTCTCGCAATCAAAACAAGAGAGAAATCATAACACGCAGAAACTAAAACCCTGTGTTCTCAGCAGAAGGGTGTCCCCAGCATGACACAGCAGCGGTTACATCTATTTGACGGGGTGGTCTGAACATTGGGCCACTCACCCTGGCAGTGGGGGCGCTGCTACGGGCCTTGGCCAGCAGCCTGCGCGCTCTCTCGTACTCGTTATTCTCCGATTCTAGCTTCACGGCAGCCAGCCAGATCTCCTCACTGTTGGGGTTAGCCTAACACAAAGAGAAAAACAGAAAGAGGCGGGATGAGTTTTTACTGGCCATCATCCCAGTGAACACTTAGATACAGTAAAAGCTGATTAGTTTCAGGAAATGAGCACGGATATGCTTTTTTTAATTATGGTTCTGCATCTTTAGTTTGAAGTTTTGCATACAATTCTTGCATGTTTGGTGTTCTTTCAGTCATGTCATGTTATGACTAGGCCAACACTGAATGTTGATGTTTTGTCATGCCTTCCAAAATGAGTGGGAGGGAATCAAAACCAATTTAAATAGTATCAATTTATCTACATATATATATTTTTTAAAATTAATACTTTCATTCAGTGATGCATTAAACTTTTCAAAAGTGACAGTAAAGACTTTTATATTGTTACAAAATATTTCCATTTGTTCTTTTGAACATTCTATTCATCAAATAAATGTGAATATATCCTGAATATATGCATGGTTTCCACAAACATATAAAGCAGGACAACTGCTTTCGACATTAATAAACAGAAATGTTTCTTGAGCAGCAAATCAGCATATCAGAATGATTTCTGAAGGATCATGTGACACTGAAGACTGGAGTAATGATGCTGAAAATTCAGCTTTGCATCACAGGAATAAATTACATCTTAAATCATATTAAAATAGAAAACAATTATTTTAAATTGTAAAAATATTTCACAATTTTACTGTATTTACAGATTTTTGATCAAATAAATGCAGCCTTGATGAGCAAGGCTTACCAACTTACCAACTCTAAACATTTGAACAAGAATAGATCTGTTTATTGTCTATTAAAAGTGCATTTAAAATAAAAGAAATAAAAGAGTGAGTTAAATATGAAACCTACCACTACTCACCACTATGCTTTACAGGTCTTTTGTGAATTACTTTTGTAAATATCTAGTACAAAGAAGTGTATCTTGTGCCGTTGCTTCACCATTACAATGCTATGGTGTTATCAATAATGATGCTTGCCACTAATAATGTAGTCGTGGGGCCTGAAGAGCTGACGGCAAGAAGCACTCACCTGGAAAGCCAAAGCCAGGATACTTCTGGCTGCAGGAACGTCTCCCGCCAACCATTTCGATTTAGCACCCATTAGCCATAACACCTCAGCCTTTGGACAGTGAGCTACAGCCCTCTGTAACAGAGCCTCCAACGACTCTCTGAGAGAGAGAGAGAGAGAGAGAGAGAGAGAGAGCGAGATTAAAATAACACCAATGGCTGTGGAATATAATCAAGGGATTAGATTATATATCAGTGTCTAAATTAAGGTGCCTCTAAAAGAAAGTGGTTTCACAAAGGCTTCAATAATGCAAAGTCTAATGATTTAAAACTAATTCAATTGGGCAACCTCAAATAGGCCTTGTTGCCTTCCTGCCTCCATAAATTGGCTGTGAATGCTTGGACAGAACCAAAGAATGCTGATTTAAATTCTGTTCAGCCGTGTCTAGACAGCTAGTGAGTACTTCTCACCGGGTACCGTGGTTCTTCTCAAAGTAAGCGGCCCTCAGCCAGACGCTCTTCTTGCTGGGGAAGACCTGGAGCGCATGAGCGTAGATGGCCCGCGCACACTCCAGAGCTCCATGAGCCACACACTACAAAAAAACACAAACAATCAGCATCAGATATCATGGTAATAGAGTGCATTAGTGCTCGCCTACTTTTTCAGCAGCGCTGGTTCAGGAAGTTTTTTTTCTCCCCCATTAACGTTTCCCATAGAGAGTTAAAAAAAGCTTTTGTTAAAGTTTTATAAGCCATGAACCAAACCAACCAGCTACAAGGTGAATCACAACATTACAAACTTTGATTTGAAGCAAAATAAAGTATCTGAAAATCAGACAAAGAACCAAAGAATGGCTTTAATGAGGTAAACAAACTGCAGTCCCATTATCCTTTTTGAGACATAATCAAATAAAAAACAAAGGAGAAATAAAAACTATTGATTTAAGGTTGTTGATTATATTAATAGAAACAACAAATTTATTGCAAAATATGCAAATATAGAACAGGGGGGTCAACTGCAGTGTTTTTAAAACTACATGGGTAATGTAGTTTTCACCACAAATTCAGATTTTAGATATGATCTGTTAAGAAATGAGTTGAAATAATGTAAATGAACAGCTTATACAAAATAATATACAACTTCTTAGCTCACAGTACATCTGTCTTTAAAGGTTTATGAGTTATTGCTAAAAATCCCTAAGGGAAAAAAAAGAATGTAGTTTTTACTTCCGGAATCTGACTATAATATATATCTATAATATAGGTCTGTGTAATATAGCCAAACTAATGTTAAAGAGATAAGACATTAAAGGGATAGTTCACCCAAAAATGAAAATTGTCATCATTTACTCACCCTCATGCTGTTCCAAACCTGTATGAGTCTCTTTCTTCTGCTGAACACAAAATATGATATTTTGAAGAATATTGGGAAGCAAACAGTTGCTGGTAGCCAACATTCTTCAAAATACTTTTTATATGCGTGAGTGTTTAACAGAAGAAAGAAATTCATGTATTTTCATTTTTGGTAAAACTACCCCTTTAAATCTTCTACTATAACTTGTTATTCTCATGAATAAATGATCAGAAATGTCAGTAATAAACAAACACGTGGTGCTGAATGAAAGCAGAATGTGGGTGCGTAAAGGTGAGAGGATGTTTACACTGTCTGCGTCCTCCATCCATGTGTGTTTGCAGTCCTCCTCTTCAATGCCAATCCCAATCACAGCTCTGATCACAGCCTGACAAGTGGCCACGCTGCCAGCCTTATCACACTCCTCTGCATCCTGAGACAGACATCAGCTTTAAATTGAACACATCCTGATATTTGTTCTCTCATATATCTGGCAATGCAGCTTAACTGAGAAACCTAATCTTGTCCTGACTCGAATCTCGGTCTTTGCATATATGCATTTTTCACTGTTTTTTAAAGTCTAATTTAAAAAAAGAAACTTGAAACCATTTAAAAACAGCTACACTGAATGACACTGAGCCATCTGAGCTCTTAAACATAAACACTGAGATGTTAGACCTGAATCCATTGTTCGCGATTTATCTCTACGCCGTTGGCCCTCAGGGAGGTGATGGCTCTGTCGATGATCTTCTCCACCATCTGTGTGTTGCCGTTGGCCTCCTCCAGCTTGGCAGCTGTGATCCAGATATGGCGGTCAGACGCCGGTGGCCCTCAGGGAGGTGATGGCTCTGTCGATGATCTTCTCCACCATCTGTGTGTTGCCGTTGGCCTCCTCCAGCTTGGCAGCTGTGATCCAGATATGGCGGTCAGTGGGAATGTTTTCACGGGCCTTGTTCAGAACACGACGAGCATTCTCATAGGTTTCTAATCGGGCCAGAGCCAGCCAGAGCTACGGAAGACAAGGACAACACTGTCAGAGCAGTCTGATTTATGGCCCGTAAAGAGGTTTATGGGTTCTGGCTGATTAAGACTGTGTGTGTGTGTGTACCTCAACACTGGTAGGACAGCACTCGACTGCTCTGCTCAACATAATCCTAGCGTCCTCTGGCTCCTCCAGCTCAACAGCTATCTTCCACAAACGCACTGACTTCGACACATTCTCCAGAGCTGTGAAGACATGTAGATATTGGGAAAAAAGGCAGTATACAGACAAGAGTTACTGAATGATTAAACAAAAAGTAGCAAGCATCACATTGCTCATTTTTGGGATTATTAGAATGATCTTGCTAAATAATAACCCTAAATAGTAACCCTTCTGATTTAGCTTTTTTCCCCTGCAATTTGGTTTCACAACACGACTTTGATTTAGTGGACAATAAAAATATATATATTAATATTTCACCAAAACCGTTTTATCCCCACCCCCCACCCCTCCTCCCCCTAAGAAACAGAAATAATAAAAATGACAGGTGCGCTTATTAAAGATAAAATGAAAATAATGAATAGTAATGAAAGACATCCACCTAGTGCATGTTTACACAGTGAAACCCAAAAAGCAATGCTGTTTTAAAACAACACCGAAGTCTAGAGTAACATGCTGAACTGTAAAATGACTGTAAAATCTACCATTTTTTAACGTTAGAGTTCAAATGATAAATGTTTTTACAAAAACAATTGTTGTATAAAATGATAAACCTCAAATTTCAGCCTAATAAATGATTATGCATGTATAATTGGTCTGAACAAAAACGGCAGACGGGATTAATGAAAACGCTAATTCACTCTCTGACAGTAGGTGGCGCTTATGAACAAGCAGAAATACAGCGGTTTACCACAGTTACTCCTGCACACAAAGCAGCGCTGCACTTATAAACTCTACTATTAGGCATCATATGGCAGTAAGATGAAAAGAAAATGCCATAAAAACTCAGTTCCCTCCTCCATTTCAACAGAAACAACACTGAGATCTTGAATGCACTCAAACTTTCTCCAGAAAACGCAAAAACCACTGTATGCAAATCACGTCATGAATAATAAACTGGTACTAAAATGAAAAATCACCAGGTTTTTACCAACAAACTGATTACGTCACAAACACCACATTACTTTTTAGAGTTAACAAGCTAATCAAGGTAGAGATATTGATGAAGTAGAACCAGCAGCCTCTTTAAAGAGATACATTATTATAAGGAGGAGATTCAGGACGTTTTAACAAGCCGAGACTGATAGAGTATTCATACATACCTAACAATTCATCCGTCTCTGTCACACAGGTATGCAGGCAGAAAAAAGCAGGTGACAGTGGAAAGAGAAACCTAAAGAGGACTGGAGGAAGAGAGACAGACAAAGAGTCACTGACCTTTCCTGAGCACTCGTTTCTTGGCCCTGATGTCCGTCTCTAGCTCCGCGGCTCTGATATAGATGCGCACAGACTGAGGGAGGTGACGCACCGCCTGGGCAACTACTGCCTTCGCCGTGTCTCCAGGCTGCAGCCGGGCGGCTTCTAGCCAAACATCCTCGCTCTGGACAGACAACACACAGCACAGATCACACACACACATCCCCTCACTCTATGAAGACAATACAAATACCATCTTAATAAGACAAAATTACTCAGAACAGATAACATCTTCAGCAGGGCTTTAGATAAAGACAAGGAAGCAAAAAAATGTATTTAGTTTCAGAATCGATTAATAATGAAGTTATAAAAAATATTTTCTTATATTTTAAACAGTTTATATATATATATATATATATATATATATATACACACTGAATATTTCTGCCTGTTTGGAAAATCTCATGTTTTGGACCTTATATGATCAACAATTTCCAATAGCATAGAATAAAATTGCTACCTAATTAAATAAATAATTCATTCATTTATTTAAATAGGCTATAATTTCATGTCTCACAAACCTAAAGTATACGAAACACTAAATCACCAGTCAATGAGGCTGTTTGGTGAATCTTTTGATCAACTCAAAAAGAACAATTTCATTTTTCCATGAATCGGACATTACAGCTTGCAAATGAGGCCTGGCTGACTGCCGAGTGTTGACTAGATTTTAAGTTGTGGTAAACCATTTTTGCTTTCTCATGTATTTTAGTGTGGAGCCCAGCTCAATAGTTCACATGTATAAAAGGAATAATTGACAATTGGCTGGTGAATTATTAAAAATTAATGCTAAATGATTTATAGAATCAGCTGCCAAGACCACCTTTTTGTTCATCACAGGCGTGTTTGATGACTGAATGTACCGATCATGCCCACACATTCTGTCTAAGTGGGCAGCTCACTAGGCTTTGAGACACAGCCAGTGTCACCGTTCTTCTGCTGAACTTTGATTAAGGAGCCTGCAGAAATTTCCCAACACTTAATGAAGCTGTGCACACACTGAGAGCAAAAGAGCCTGACACCGTTACCGCTCGCTGTGTTTTCATTTCCAGTCCAAAGACAGCACTAGTAGACAGGCACAGTTGACATAAACCAGGCTCAATTCACTGACCATGACATTTTTATATTGTTCTTGAACAATATTTTCCAAGTGGGATTTTGCAGGTCATAAATGTATTGCTATGGCAACCTGTCAACACTGGCAACATTCCTAAAGCTGTAAAACTTCAATGTTTCATACACATGCTGCCCCCTACTGGACAGAGAGTCGAGCTATTCCTTTTTACATTAAATGGACAGTTCAACCAAAACTTAAAATTCGGTCATCATTTTCGCACCCTTATGTCACTCCAAACCTGTATGACTTTGTATCCCCTATGAAACAAAGACGAGAAATGTCTGTTTTTGTCAAAATAGAAGTCAACTGTTAAACAGTTTGCTCTCTTCAAGCCATCTTCAAATTAAATATGTTCCACAGAAGTAAGTCATTTTTGGGTGAAACATCTCTTTAAGGGACATTTAAAACATTTTATTATCAGAGTCCCATTTATAAAGTTCAAGGTTTCTTGCACCTACTTTGAGCGAAATACAAGAAATAACTGGTGTGATGACGTTTCAAACATAATCAGGCAAAAAACTAAGTTTGCTCAGGATCCATTTCAGGCCAAAGTGAACTTTCTAGAAAATTTTGCTCTGGCTGGTAAACACCTTCGAACTCCCATTGGTCTGTGATGATGATGATGATGATGTAACAGGTAGGTGTGGCTCTGGGGCTCCGCCTTCTTTGACATGTAAATCTTCTCTGGTTCATTTCTTCTGTTCAGTCCATCAAGGTCAGACGCGAGTAAAAGCATGAACACACTGACATGCTGCTTTATAGTAGAAACTGAAGTTGTAAATCTAATTGAAAGCGACACTGACACTGTTTTTTTCCCCCCATGTTTAATACTGTAAAGCTGCTTGCTATAAATGTGCTGAATTGCAGAGCTAGTGCAAACATGTCCACATCAGATGTTTTCTTAACTGCTGTTATTTTTGTTCTGTGCTTATTTTGTTACTGAGAGGAAAGCACACAACACATATTTACATATTCATCTAAACGCTGCACTCAGTGTGTGTAGGGATGCTCACTAACAGTGTACCTCTGCTAAGATATTTCAAACTTCTTTTTACCCCTAAGTGAAGAATGAAAAAAATCTTTGCCTTAAATATATAGGGACCTTAATTTAGTCACACATGACCATTTCCTCCCTCTTTTTGTGCCTCACCTTGGGACACATCTCGGTGCCTTTCATGATCAGGTTTCTGGCCACCTGCAGCTTCCCGGTCACCTCTTCCAGACGAGCAGAAGCGATCCAGGCGGGCGGGTGATGAGGGTTTGTTTCTCTCACTGACTTCAAGAGGAGACGGGCCTTCTTAATATCACTGCACACATAGAATGACATTAGAAAATGCAACACAAACAGCCCAGATATAAAGCTCATGAGGCTAAAACACTCAGTACCTGATGTCTCCTCCATGTGTGGGGATCATGGAGTTGAGATCGGTGAGATAGCCTTTAGGATCAACAACTGTCTGTCCACTAACAGAGTCAGACACCTGGAGACACCAACAAAGACTCTGTAAAAACTTCTAGCTTTCTTCAAAATAATTCAGTTTGCAATTAAATGCTATATGGTGCATCACCTGACTGAGCCTCATGTCCATCAGAGTGTTCCTGGCCTGTCCGATCTTCCTCATGTCCAGCTCTCCAGCTTCAGGCGTCATGCCTCCTGGGTAGGGTGTGTTCAAGCCCCCTGGAAAGGGTGTCGCTAGCCCACTAAATTGCTGAAAAAAAAAAACAGCTCAATTAGAGATTGCATTGTTGCATATTTTGCAATGAAATCTTCAAGTGCACTGGATCCTGCAAAGCAATGCGATGTGCTCTGATTATATTCATATTTTTCTTAAAGGGGTCCTATTATGCTCTTTTACAATGTCTTGAATTTGTTTTGGGGGTGTACTAGAACATGCACTCATGCTTGGTGGTTCGAAAAACGCATAATTTTTTACATAATTTACATTATTACAATACCTTTCTCCCCAGTCTGGCACAAACAAATGTGATGTGATTGGTTAGCTATCCCAGTGCGTTGTGATTGGCGAACAGCTTAGACGGTGTTTCAGTACTGCCCCGCCCCTTGCCAAAGCAGCAAGTTCCGTCTGCTCTGGTTTAGTTAACGATGGCGTCAATATTACCATATCAATTTGAGCCGGATTCAGACCCAGAGAATATTGAACAAGAGGATCGTGCAGAACCTTTGCACGCACGGATATTGCAAGACATATTAGAGTGGTAACGTTATTGTTGTTGTTGTTTTTTTTTGGCTAAATCACGTTTTAGATAGGATGTCAACAACCGCTTAAAAATAAATGCATTTACTATGTACAGATGCATATGCATTATTTTTATTGTTATTTAATTCTAACATTATAGCATGAATTGCAGTGAAACTGTTATACAGTTGAATTTATTTATACCATAGTCCAGTGTAGGCATGGGCCGGTATGAGATTTTGAAGGTATGATAACCTTAAGCAAAAATATCACGGTTTCACAGTATCACGGTATTGTCGTTACAGCTCTAAAATGTGTTATTTTTAAATCACTGGGGAAAAAAACAATATATTTTGTTTTTGATCAACATACAGAATATTAGGAACAATAGAATTTGTTTATTTTTCTTTGATTTGTTTCCTAAAAAGAAGAATTTCTTGAAAAGGGATTTTTTAAAAACGAAATATCTCCCTTCGGAGTGGACTTTGAGAGTTGTAACTTTGTAGATCTTTTTTATGCCCAAACATACACAGTACACACTGACTAAAATTAAAAAAGTGAAAAAGCATAATAGGACCCCTTTAAAGACGATGATGCGCATGTGAAAGGTGACAGAATGTTACTCACCCCCTGCAGTGGGTCAACAGAGGTGTGGTTTTCTCCAGTCTGGAGGTGCTTGGCAAAGAAGCTGTCTGGCACAGGTGTGAGCTTCTCATGGCGGGGATTCCTCTGACGTTTGTTCCTGGCATCACCAACCTCAGGAATACTCAACCATTCATCCTCTGTGACCTCAGCCAGCTTCCTCTGGAAGGCAGAAATAATGCAACAACAGGGTTATCGTTGACATTACACTACCGCTCAAAAGTTTGGGGTTGGTGTGTTTTGAAAGTGTTTTTTAAAGAAGTATCTTCTGCTCACCAAGGTTACAAGTATCTGATCAAAAATACAGTAAAAACAGTAATATTATTACAATTTAAAAGAACTGTTTTCTATTTGAATTTATTTTAAAATGTAATTTATTCCTGTGATTCTAAGCTGAATTTTCAGCATCATTACTCCAGTCTTCAGTGTCACATGATCCCTCAGAAATTATTTTAGTACGCTGATTTGCTGCTCAAGAAACATTTCTTATTATAATCAATGTTTAAATTTTTTGTGGAAATTGTGTTTTTTTCAGGATTCCTTGAAGAATGAAAAGTTTGAAAGAAAAGCATTTATTTGAAATAGAAATATTCTGTAACATTATAAATGTCTTTACTGTCACTATTGATCAATTGAATGCGGCTTTGCTGAATAAAAGCAGATTTTTTTTTCAATATGAAATCTTACGGACCCCAAAATTTTGAACAGTAGCTTATATGAGAGTACACAAACTATAAACCCCAGATGTTGATTTTTACCATTATTATTTAGTCATATTAAAATTCTGTCACAGTTCAAACTAAAATTCCAAATATTATTTGTAGGACAAAGTAGCTATATAAACATTTTGACGAACAAATCATAATCACAAACCTTCAGGTCTGAGAATTGCTGCTGAATTTTGGGCCTCTCCATACGATATTTCTCGATCTCCTCTTTCTCTCGCAGCTCCCTGCGGATACATCCACAAAATAAACAAAGAGACACTACATAACAACAAACAAGTGCAGATGAGAGAGCCAAGTTCACACTCACCTTCTTTCTTTGCGTCTCTCATCCATGCGCTTATCCAGTGCGGCGTAAATGGCGTCGGCCTCCTCATCGTCTTTCTCATACGGCCCACTGGAGAACAGACTGCCTGCATAGCCGTTGAACTAGAGGATATCAGGGATTCAGGCTAATAGTACAATACAAAGTTTTACCAATAAAGTTAAATAAAACCTTTCACAGTCAGAATGTGATCTCAATCAATCCTAATATATATTGAACACAGTTTTGTATATTCTGTTGCCTTTTTTGCATGCAATCACATATGGCACAGGTCGACACGACCCTGCTCATGATAAACTGCTGGTGCACCTCATCATAGTTAGTGTCATTCAGATCCTCGTCATCATCTTCTTGGTTTTTCTTCATCTGATCGCCCACCGTCCTCTTCCCAGGGGGTGCGTGCCGATCGTCCACTGGGTCATTGGCATCACGAGCGGGACCAATATCAGATCGCGTGGTGAAACCTGTAGCACTGAGGAGCACAATACATTACAACTCAGCACGAAACGCAAAATATGACAACATGTAACACTACCGGTCAAAAGTTTGGAATAATTACGATTTTTTTTATGTACTCTGCTGTTCAAAAGTTTGGTCTCTTCTTTTCATCAAGGCTGCAATTCTTTGACCAAAAATACAGAATTTTTTTTTTAATATTGTAAAATATTGTTACCATTGATTTAAAAGAATGGTTTTCTATTTTAATATACTTTAAAATGTAATTTATTCCTGTGATGCAAAGCTGAATTTTCAGCATCATTACTCCAGTCTTCAGTGTCACGTGATCCTCCAGAAATCATTCTAATACGCTGATTTGCTGCACAAGGAATAGTTCTTCTTATTATTTTTGAAAAGACTTTAATGTTGAACTGGACACTGAATTAATGGCTGCTGAAAATTCAGCTTTGTATCACAGGAATAAATTACATTTTGATATGTATTAAAATTGAAAGCAGTTTTTTTTAAATTGTAAAAATATTTCACAATATTACTGTATTTTTTGATCAAATAATGCAGCCTTGGTGACCATAAGAGACTTTTTTCAAAGCTTCAAAGTAGTGTAAAATTACAAGACGTCTTATAACACAGTACAACACAAAACAAAACACATCAACAATAACATCAATACACCAAATTACACATCAATGAAACATCACAATACACAGCACAACGTCTAAAAATCAGCAGTGTTATTATAAGTAATAACACATTTGTGCAGCGAGTGAGTTCTGTCATGATTACTGTATGTTTTGGTCTCTCACCCTCTTCCCAGACCGGGCACGTAACCCAGCGGCGCAGGCACCCCGAGGAACGGCTTCTTCTTCTTATTCAAGCCGCCCATGAGCGGAGACGCGAGCGGCATTGCCGGAGCTCCACCTGCGGCCCCGCCGGTCCCTCCGGACGGGGCTTTGCTTGCAGTTCTCGCGGGTTGTTTTGCTGTAGCGCTCGCCATCGTTGCGCTACCGACAACACGCTTCACTTCCGGTACAACAACAGTCGCGCTTCCTGTAACATAAAAGTCTGCTTTTAAAAAATGGCAGTGCTACTATAGCGTCCTCACAGGACGGGCGGTGTGAAGTAGCCTGACTTAAATTCACCTGCTCTTTGTGCTTTTGTTGTTGGGTTACTTTTTTTTTTCTGTTATACGCTGATATGAGAAGCAAAAAATACTTAAAATATTATGTAGGTTGGTGGACCTTAATCTTCCCTTTTATCTAAAAGCACGTGTACCTGATTTTATAGAATCAAATAATCACTTTTGAAAACTATCCATAGGAATAGGTATCATGTAAGAGTCAAACAAGATAAACTGAAATGTATATTGTTAGATTTGTTGAATTTGTTAAGTATTATTTGATGCTACTAGGATCCTTTTGGTTTTAAATTATGATGGAATTCAATTACACTTCCTTTAGGATTTTTGACTGAATTAGTTATTTTAACAGAAAATAGATATTTTGGGCTAAAATGATACACATTCATAAAGCTTTGAGTCATTTGATAACAGTATACTTCATCAATGTGAGTTTCATCTACAGAGGGCAGCAGAGGCTTGATTCCTATGGTCTAAGGATACCTAAGTACGGAACACCACTCAAAGGTAAACATTTTGTATTTTAAATATTTTGAATTCAGCTCAATATGCTGAGACAATTAAAAAGTAAACTATTTGTAGTCTAATTCAGCCTAAAAAGTGTAAACACTCTGCTACTAACCAATGTAGTGACATTGGCTCAACCAATGGTGTGAGTTTTTGGGCGGGACTTTCTGTTATTCTGACCAATGGGAGACAAGGGGAGTGTTTTATTTTTTTATTTTTTTATTTTTTTTAAACAGCTTTATTAACTTCATGTATATCTTTTAGAAAGAGTGTTGTATCATCTGCAAATTGACATAGCTTAAATTCTTTTCCCATAGTTGTAATACCTTGAAAATATCCTTTCTTGAGATGAAGAGCTAATAATTGGGTTGCTAACAGAAAAAGAAAAGGAGAAAATGGACAACCTTGTCTTATTCCTCTGCCAATTTCAAATCTATTAGACGTTCCTTGGGCCAATTTGACAGAACTAAATAATTAACTGTAGAGAAGAGCATTTCGTTAAATGTATAATGAATGTGTCATTCATTTTTTATACATGTGATTTATATATGTGATTTTTTCTCACACATATACATCTGCTTAACGTTATCTGTCTGTTTTCCGTCTTTTAGTTTAAGACAGAACGATTTGAGTTTGCAGGAGTCATTACAGTGTAAATTGATGGACATAACTTTCTAATACCTGAAACAGAAAACTAATAAATACAGTAATATTCCCTCCGCACTTCGGAAACTGGGCTTCCACACAGACGAGCGCACACAGTTTTGGCCAGATTACCCATTTTAAATAAGGTATAGACCCACTAAATGAACGGGTCCAGATCGGATCCGGTCCGGATGAGTAATCAGCGGGTCCTGATCGGATCCGTTTCTTTATCAACGGGTCCGGTTCGGATAGGGGCCGGCTGAGCTACTTCATGAACGGGTCCGGATCGGATCCGGATGAACCGCTTTATTATCCGTAACCCTTATCTGTTTCGGATCCGTTGATCTGTCTCGTCAGGAGAAGGCCAACAACAGCCAATCAACAGCCAGTCAGACGACGAGCAGCCAATCAATACAGGATTTGGCCAGCAGCCAATAGCATTTGTTAACACAACAAGCATACGTTGGGCCCCGCCCCCCGACTGTCAAAACTTCCTGTGCGTGAAGGGTTCAGCTCTCGCGTTTAGCTCTGCGCGTGCGGGCTCTGCTCGCAGTTTTGTTATTTGACTTTGCAGCGTGCTGATGTGTGTACACAATATGTTTCATTTTCTAATAATGTTTTATTAAGTTTCCAATATCCTCTATTTGCTTTATATTTACTTGAACCATACCTATTTATGTCAATTGCTATTCCTTTATGATCTGTTAAGACGGAAGGCTCTATAGAAACAGACTGAACATAATCTTCTAATGTATCTGAAATTAAAAAATAATCAATGCGTGACTGCTTAGACTGATCTTTCTTACTCCATGTACACAAAATTTGGTTTGGATTTTTGTGACGCCAAATATCTATTAACCCTAAACGAAGGCATACATTTTTTATTTCACACATACCATCATCTTTGGGTGGCCATCTATCTAATAAGTTATGTACACAGTTAAAGTCCCCTCCCCATATTATTTTAGCATCAGGGAATTTGCTCTTGATCTGCATCAATTTTAATTCAATATTTCCAAAAAATATGTTATTTTGTTGCTTGTTGTTGGTAGCATATGAATTCACCACAAGGGGAGTGTTTGGAAACCTGCAATTTTGTTTGGTGACACTATAGTGGTGCATAAAGTCAGGGGTCACCAAACTTCGAACATCAAATTTTGATGTTAAAACTTTGTGAACGAGTAAAAAGACTTTTAATGCATTTTTATGGTTTTTAATGGAGTTTTAAATGGAGCTTCAAGAATCCATTATCGGTGAGTGTCATATACATTGAGCAGTACAGTTCATATTTTTAATGTTCAATCTGTGCTTATGAAAGTTTAAAAAAAAATCATTCTGTGCATACCTGTGGAAGTAAATAGATAATTTTCAGTTCATATTTCATCAATTGGGATCTATTAACCATCTTCGCGCTACCTCAATGTTCGGGCTTTGGATTTCTCTGTAGAGACGATAATGAAAGCAGACACTGTCACATCAGACTCAAGGGCTTTCGGCAGGTCAATTTAATAAAGGTGCCTACAACATCAGAAAAATCCGCTGGGCTGAAAAGACAGTTCTTGAAAGCTTATAGATTCAAACAGAAATGCCTGCCGAACCAGACTCCGTTTAACACACAACTTACCCAAATGCAATATGAAATCCCTGGCTTTCAGTGGCCTAACTAAATAATATTGCCAAGACTTGTCAGTCAGACTTGAATATGAATTGAAGTTTTCTCCATTCTTCTCTATTGCCCATACTGATATGAAGTCAATGTCAAAAGAATTGGCTGACATAAAGCGCAACTGGCAGTCTCAATTTACATAAAATTTAAGAAAAGTCAGGAGACTTTTATACCATTAGCACAGACTGTAAAATGTAACAATCATTCTGAACTTCTTCACATGGCCCGATTTAATTTTGCTTCTTTCATTTGCTCACTGATTTACCGAATGGGTGCCGTCAGAATCAGAGTCCAAACAGTTGATAAAAACAAACCTGTTTGTGTAACGTGTTGTACAGGATCAAGCACAGAATGCAGGAGAAGTCAACAAACTAATACAACCAATGGAGAAACCGTGACACAGCAACAGAAACATATAAACAATACCAGACAAGGAACTGACTAAAACTGAGGGCTTAAATAGACAGATGATTAACAGAATCAGAACAGGTGACGACTAATGAGTAACTATGGAAACAAATGAGAGGAGGGAAAATTGGAACAAAGGAAACTGGCCCTGCGTTCCATTCAGAAGGCAGAGGAAATGGCTGAATCTGGGAGAGGGAGGCTGGGTGGGATCCATTGTTGAGCAAGTGATGCATCAAAATCTGTTCTGATGAAAAAACAAACTCAGCTACATCTTTGATGGCCCGAAGTTGAGTAAATTTTCAGCAAATTTTAATTTTTGTGTGAACTATTTCTTTGGGATGCAAATTGCATTTCATGTTGAGTTTAGGCTTTTGGTACACTATTTGTCTTCATGTTCCACCATACACTTGATTTAGTGTTATGTTGTTGCAGAAATGCGCTGAAGTCACACGTTTTGTCAATCCAGAAGCTTTACAGAACATCTACTACAGTTCTGGGGTCTGTGTCTCTCATTATTGAGACATAAAGATTTCTTCCTGGGATTCTTTCAGACATGTGTCCTTTGTATGCCGCCCTGTGATAATCAGGACTAAAACGTAATCCTGTTATCATCGCTTTTGTATTGTGAATGCACAGGCCAGGATTGAAACACATGACGTGTGTAGAGCCCAAGGATTGAGCCTCTGAGGAGGTAAAGGGGTGAGGAACAGGAAAGGAATTATTCTCTTTGATCTGTTCCCATGGAGCATTTGGCTTTGGTTTTCCTCCACACATAACCTTGAACAATGAAGCAGGAACAGAAAGAGAAAGAACGCCTGGGAGGAAGAGGGAGAGGAGAGCAGTGGGAAAAAATAGGTGAACGAGGGTCAGAGGCAGATTATACCTGAGAGAGGTTTATTGTGTGAAATCCACATTTCCATGGCATGGCGAAACCTAAAGTGGAAGTTCATGAGTATGTTTTGGTGTGTTCAAAGGATTCTAGACAGTTTTGGGGGTAATGCATTACAAGTAATGTGAGTTACATAATCAGATTACTTTTTCAAATAAGTAATGCAGTACTTTTACATTTACAATGAAATATCTGAGTTACTTTTTCTAATAAGTAATGCACACAAGTTACTTTGTTTTCCTTTTTATTCACTGACAGCTCTCCTGTCCCCGTGTTGAGAGAAATCAGGAGTGAGGTGAAGAGGCAGAGGCACTTCCTTCAGCCTGAGCCTTATTCACTTCACTTTTGGTGTGAAAGGGCCTTTACAATGGCCAAAAACATAACTTTTTTGTTTTTTGTTATTAAAAAAAACAAATAAGCAAGCCCAGCTCAGGTGACAAAAAGTAACACAAAAGTAGCAAAATGCATTACTTTCCATAAAAAAGCAAAAAAAGTAAAGCAATTAGTTACTTTTTTTATGGCATACGCAATGTTGTAATGCATTACTTTTAAAAGTAACTTTCCCCAACACTGATAGCAGATATATAATTATTTAATTTATAACGATGAAAATAATAAAATAAATTCATTAACTGGTATAAGTGTGGTTTTCAACAGATTTTTGTATTAGTTCCCCAGAAATCAAGCGTAGCGTTAGTTCTGGCAGGTCACGTTAGTCAAGCTCGCATCAGCTGACTCTCAGCTGATCCCCATCTACCTATAGGAATACGACACCTATCTAAGCATTCA